GAGTACGCACAGCTGACCGCACACCCCAAAGCCTGCATTTTCATACCACACCGCCCGGCCCCGGGCCCAGATCCAGACACCACAGGGGACGAAGAGGCAGGTGAGGGAAGCTGTCCCAGCCCAAGGCACGGAGTGAGCCTGATCGCGGTCGTTCGGGTGCCAGTGGCAGGGCCTCTCGGCCAGACAGTTCTCAGGGGGCAACAGGATGAGCGGAGCTAAGGTGGACTATTCCATATGCTTCTCATCATCTCAAGGAGGGTGGGACCGAGGCCAGACCTGGGTGAGTGGCCCCTAGAAAGCCTCCTGACCTGTACAGAGGAGAAAGACAGGTGGCCCTGGCCACGGAGCGGATCTTTAAGGTAGAGTGCCCCTGCCCACAAGCAAAATGACCCTGTGCATGTCCTGGGTTCTGCCCAATCAGACCAACAACTCCTTTTCTTCTGGGAGGCATGGGGACATGGACTTAGAAGGGGGTGGCCCAGGGCAGAAGCGTGGGGGGAGGGGTCTCCTCTTCAACAGTATGGATGTGACATACTCCTTCTAAAAGGCTGTATATAATCCCTGGCCATGTGATAGGAGTGATGTAAATTTTAAAAAATAATACTTACATTTGTGTATGTGTATATGTACTAATGAGCTGTAGCTCTAGCCTGTGCTTTTAACCTTGCAATATAATTATTTAGATACAGTCTTATTTCTCTGAGTAGATTATTAAATCCTTGAGCACAAGGCCCATGATTTCTTCATGTCTTTATTCCCCCAGAGGCCGAATCTGGTACACAGCAGGCCTTTAATAAGTGTTGGATGAATTCATTAATGAATTGATCTGTATGGTACATGCAAAACAAATAAACTACACTGCATCCAAAACCTTAAGAGTAATTCAGCTTGGATGCACTACATTGCATCCAAAACCTTAAAGAGTAATTCAGCTTGGGTCAAGATTCATTTTGCAAGGTCTCCGAGCAGATTTGCCTCTTGCCAAGGTAACCATAAGTTTGGGGCTGCAAATGCCTTAGCTTTAAAGTAAACGACACACGTGAGGCGCCCTGCATGAAGTCCAGCCTGTAAATGTGAGGGGCAGAGTCCCCCGTGTGAACCGGTGGCTGGGGTGTGCCTTGGCACCCGTCTGTCTCCCCCCGGCACCTCCGCGCCCAGCAGGCCAGCTGGTCTGGCCCCCAACCCTCACAGACTAAAAAGTCAGGAAAAAGCGAGCGTTGTCCCACTGTCCATATAATTACCATGTGCCCTTCACAGCCTGTGTGTCGCCCCTTGGAGAACCGGCCAAAGCCAACATTTAGTTCAGCCACCTTTCCTCCACACCTCAGCACAGGCTGGGCTGTCAGTGCGTGCTCAGGAAAAGGCACATTGATCTGAACCAAACTGAATTAGCCGGCCACTTGGCAGCCGGGAAGTCACGTGCTGCTTTCCCAGACCAAGTAGAAATTATTTTTAGATTATTCACTGTTTGGTATTATCCATGCCACAGCTCCCTCCTATTAGGGCACATCAGAGAAAATTGGCTGCAGCCAATTAGTGGGTATTTCACAAGTCATTTATCAGTACTGGCCTGCCTGTAGTCATTTGCAAAAAGACAGACAACAGGAATGTGTGCACACAGAGGAAGAACCATAGGGGGACCCGACAAGAAGGTGACCACCTGCAAGCCGATGAGAGAGCCCCAGAGGAAGCCAAGCTTATGGTCCCCTTGATTTTTGTGTTCTACCTTCCAGAACTGTGAGAAAATAAAGTTGGTGTGCAAGCCACCCATTCTGCAGTATCTTGTTAGGACCACCCTAGCAAATGAACACACAGGGTTAATGCATTTTCCAGACAGCCTGTGGGGAATTGCAGTAACTGGGGGTACGGAGTATGTCAGGATCTTTCCCCCTGAAGACTATTTTTCAGGGGTTGTTGATATTGCATTTCCTGAAGTCAGGGCTGGGCAGAGGATCTGGACTAAACTGATGCCCCTCCCCTCTGGTGGCCCTCACCACACACACGTGACTTTGGGATTAAAGAGGGAGGGAAGGAGGTCACCTTCTGGGGACCCACCTAGACGAGGTTGGTCTGCAATTTTGAAGATGAAGATTACAGTGTGTAAACCAAAATTTCCAAAGAGGCACAGGAAAGGAGAGACTTCATTCAGGTGAAACAGTTCCAAAGGCAGCCAGCCTCCTGTGGAAACTGAAAATGCATTGCACTGACACAAAGGGGAGCTGGCCATTCATAGGAAAAGTTCCCACCCGCCCCACATTCCCGATTGGCCCGGCTTTATGCAAATGAGGTTTCCAAATTCTAACAGTTCTGACTGGTCATTATTGAGCAGTTCTGATCGGTTGGTAAAGATGCCAATGAAAACATAATTGTGCAGTTCTGATTGGAAAGACAGGTCACAGTCCATTGATCGAAAGACAAAACCAGGGCTTCCCTGCAGTGATTGACTCAGATGAGCATTTGTGGGAAGCCAAGATTTGAGACTGACGTTCTTCCCAGTAGACAGAGTCCCGGAGAAACCCCTGTCAGCAAATAGCTACTGGATTCCTATTGTTTATAAAATTTGGCCCTGGGCTGACAATGGGGAGTCCATCTCAGAGGATGAATTCCTTCTTGGGGCTCATATCAAGTGAATCTTTATTCTCAGAGTCCACAGAGGAACAGATTTCTCAATATGTTTGCTTTCATTGTTGGCCTCAAGACCAAGAAGGAAGACAGTCTAGGCAACAAAAATTAACTAGCACAGCAACTAGCCCTAATTCATTCGCCAAGAAGTCACCTTTTATTGGCACAAGTGCCACTTGGAAATGGTGGGCAACCTACTCCCATCTTGTGCCCTGTGGGAAGACAGTCAAACCCTGCAGCCTCAGCAACTCCTCCTCAGGAGATTTCCTCATCATCTCTTGCTCCTCCTGAAGGAAGGAAGCAGATAAATGAGACGCCAATGGCGAAACATCTAGAAGCAAGTGGCAAGCCCCCTGTACTCACAAGTCTCATTTAGCATCGTTCTGGAAGTCCTAGCCAATGCCTCTAGGTAGGAGAAAGGAAGAATTGGCTTGAATAATTCATTAAGGTACAGCATTAATATATAAAATATGCAAACAATACCTATACATAAAATAGAATAACTTATTTCCATTAGCAACACAACAGATTGGTGTTTAAAACATATTTAACAAAAACTTTATATAGCCAATATTATGAAAACTCCACTGAAGTACAGAAAAAACACTTAAAAATTCAGATATCTTGTTCTTGAATAAAAACAATAAATATTTTAAGATCCAATTTTCCAAATATTCATTCAATATTTAATAACTATCCATTAAAGCCGTTGTGTATAAGGGTGTCTTTGTTTTCTGTAATGCTGATGCTCGGAAAGGTACTGCAGACTCTGGAGGCCCCGCCCCTCTGCCGTTAGCTAATCTTAGAGACAGCGAACAACTCTCCTTTCATATGCAAACCAGCCAGCCCAGAATCCCAACCGCCCACATTCCAGGCCACTGTCACTCGGCCCCAATCACTCCGAGCCACACACCACACAACCTTGGGCGGTCCCTACAACCCAGAGCCCAGGGGACTTATTCAAGCCTGCCAATCCCAAACTCGTTTACCTTTCCTCTCCTCTCCCTTCCCACGGAAACCACCACAGGGCCTCAGCCACTTACTTTCTCACTTTCTCTGGGCCGGACACCAGCAGAGTTTGCTCCCCTGGCCCTCCATGCACCCGTGCTCCTCTCAAGAACTGTGAGTAAGGACTATCTTTTCAATGGCAATTGTCTCCAGATCTGTTGGCCTTACTGAACCTCAGGTTTTCCTATTAGCACACTATGTTTTAAAACACATTCCAATAAAAATACCAGACTAAAAGCAATGTAGAAAAACAACCAAGTGAAGACAACCGTTAACATTTCGGAAAAGATCCTGTAGCTAGGGTGGTGGGAGGGGAGATAGAGGCCGCGGCTGCTGGAGGGCGGGGCAGGAGGGATGCCACTGAGCTACGAAGGAGTTTTAGGAATGTAGTGGCTGTAAATTTCAGTCCATATGCAAATAAATATGAAAGAAATGTTTATTTTTAGTAATTCAACTTAATTTTAACTTCGGCCTCCATCTCGTCAGGGTGGAAACTGAATTCAGGGCCTTATGACTACCCCTCCTCACGCCCACCCCCCTTAGAACTGTTGGGCTTCGCTAATATGCAAGCATGGGGGTGAGCCTCTGATGCTGGCTCAGCTACTCATCTACCCGCCCTACATCCTTGTTTGAAGTTGCACGCAGCAGCTTTTGAGACAGTCGTGCCCTGCTGAAAGACATTTCGGTACGACACTAGTCCCATAAGATTACAATGCAGCTGAAAATCCCTGTGCCTAGTGATGCTGGAGCCATTGGAAGGCCAGAGTGCAATGAATTCCTCTTTTGTGCTGGTCTGAGTCTTATGGGTAGAAATTCAATGGGCCAGAAATGCCCGGTGGCCCAAAGGGGCACTAACCTGGGCCCAGATGAGCTTCCCACAGACCAATCTTACAACTGGACCCGACCCTTATGGCTCTTAGTATGATTGCAAGATGCCCTTCAGCAATAGCCATTAGGAAACTTTGAAGAAAAAAAGTTTATTACCTATAGGCCCTGGAGCTACAAGGCAGGCCAGGAGGCACACAGCGGAAGTACAGGGCAGAGAGAGAGACCACCCCAGGGACCTGGGGTGCTGTTTTTACTGGGGTCAAGAATTGGGAGCACGGGGTTTTGCAGGCTTACTTTTTATTGGTGAATTTAAAACATAACAGCGAGAACTTCAAATCAGGAAGAGAAAAAAACAAGTAGCCAAATGGTTAGCTATCAAAATCAGCCAAGATCTCTAAACCAAAGGATCCTCCGTGGCGTGGGGTGGCCGACGGTGTGTTTCTGTGTCCTTCCCTGAAGCAGATGTCTCTTTGAAACGGATGTCTCAGCAATCAGAGCTTCAGTCAGGCACTTGTGTTACATGGGGCTTGTGCTGCAATTACTCAGGTGTTTGCGGACACTGGCGTAAATGAGGCTGCTGGGCGGTCAGTCCCTCACAGTACAGCACCTACAATTACAGTGGCTACACTGTGGTTTGTGTAAGTGCATTCTGTAATGTTCGCACAACGAACTCACCTAACAATGCGCTTCTCAGAATGTGTGGCTGTATAAACCCCTCCCGAGGCACCTGCCCCGCAGCAACACGTCGGTGATGTTTATGCTGTTATGCCACATGGAAGTGGATTCTGCAGGGGCAGACTCAGAGGAGATTGCCAAACAGGAGAAAGGATGCAGGACCTAGAAGCTGAAGGGCAGGTGTCATGTGGTAACAGGCACCGAGTCAAGTTGGGGAGGGAGATGGGAATTCAATGCACCAGAAACATGGAACGTTGTGAGTAGTGAGAGAGGCAGACACAGTGGGGGAGGAAGCTTAATAGAGGAGGTGACTCTTGAGCTGGACCTTGAAGGTTACAGCTGATTCCCTGGGTGAGAACTGGGACGGAGTGCCCAGAGCCCTGCAGAGGAAACAGTGTGAGCAAAGCTCAGGCCGAGGTGGAACCAGGTCTGACATCCTGAGCCCACCTCAGCCACTGGAGTGACGAGGCAATTCCTAGGACATGCTGGGTGCGGGGAATGAGACTGGGGAAGAACTGTATGGCTGGGCTGTAGATTTACCCACAGAGCGGGCTGCAGTTACCACTGGAAAGAAGGGAAGAAATCATGGATGATGCCGTCCGTGGAGATACTGTGTTGGCCAGAAAGTTTGTTGGGTTTTAAGTAAAATTAAAAGACACGTTTTTCATGTTCGCTGTAACTTTATTGAACAACACATTCTCCATTTTTGTTCCACTACCTTCTGCCACCTTTCAGGCAACTTCATCATTCCATTTTCCCAAAACTTTTTATCTTTTTGAGCAAAGAACCATTCCAAGTACCATTTGCTGTCTTTCAGGGAATTAAAATTTTTCCATTAAGAGAATTTTATAAAGACCAAAATAAATAAAAATCCAAAGGGGCCATGTCTTGTGAACACGGCAGGTGAACCAGAACTTCCCAGGCAAGCTGGAGCAGCTTTTGCCCGGCCATCAGAGAACCACAAGGCCTTGCACTATCCTGATGGAACACTGTGCCTTTTCTGCTAATTCCGAACACTTTTTGTAGAGTGCTGCTTTCAGTTGGTCTACTTGGGAGTAGTTGTTGGAACCAATCATTCAGTTTTCTGGAAGGAGCTCATAATAGAGGAAGCCCTTCCACTCCCACCAGATATACAGCATCGCCTTCTTTGGATGCAGACCCGCCCTTGGTGTGCTTGGTGGTGGTTCATTTCACTTGCCCCACAATCTCTTCTGGTTCCACATTATTGTAAAGCATCCAGTTTTCACCACCCATTACAATTTGTTTTTAAAATAGAACAGTTTTGTTATGGTTAAGTAGAGAATTATGTGTGGAGATGCAGTCAAGTAAGTTTTTTTCCACTTATTCGGACCCCAAACATCAAAGCAATAACATAACCAAGCTGGTTCAAATGATTTTCAAGGCTTGATTTGGATAGTTTCAGGATGTCAGCTATCTCCTGTGTGGTATAATGTTGATTGTTCTCAATTAACGTCTTGATTTGATCGCTATCAACTTCAGCGGGTCTACAGAAACTTCACAAACCACTTTTGACCCATTCGATCAGTCACAGCACCTTCTCCATACACTGCACAAATCTCTGTGTGTGTGTTTCAGTCATGTTTTTATCTTTCTTGAAATAATAAAGCATAATATGCCAAAAATGTTGCTTATTTTCTTCCATCTTCAATATTAAAATGGCTATACAAAAATTCAACAATTTTGATGTTTTTTTAAAAATGCATGCTGATTCACAATACAATCTAACCAACTTGTTTCAAATGAAGTTAAAGACAACTAAGCGCTACTAGAACCAGCTTACAGAAAAAAACTCAACCAACTTTTGGACCAACCCAATATTTATAAGCCTGAATCAAAACCTAATGTGTTCCTATCAAATTTTGAAACTGGAGAGCCAGGGTTTCTAGATGTGTCTTTCTCTCCCTAACTGGAGGGGTACAACCTGGGTTAACTGACCAGCTGGCCCCTTTCCTGGAAGAAAAGGCCTTGGAGCAGAGGGAATGTCCAAGATAATCCAGTGAAAAACAGAGGTGTAGGCAGTCCTGCCTGCTAGATTGAATCCAAGGTGTACTTTAATCTGTATCTAATCCACAGGAGGAATTCATAGGATCTTCAATTTCCGTTACTCATATTACTCCACTATTCAGATTAGTAGCAAGTAGCAAATGCAACCAGAAAGCACGAGTGATTCCAACTTTATTTGTATACATTTCACTCTCCACAGCAGTCAGCAGAGTCAGTTTCATCAGGGTTCCTCTGTCATAATTCTCGTCTGGAATTTAACTGGTTTCCCACTTTCTTAATGCAGTCATATAAAATCCTATCCTAGTCATTCTAAATTTACATTTATTTACTGCTTCTCCATTGCCTAGTTAAATGTTTAGAAAAGAGTAAAGAAACAAATATTTTTTGGATTTAATATTATTTTCATTTTCTTTCAGTGTTCAGTACTCCCATCTCTTTGTAACAGATTTGAAACTTCCTAAAAAATACACACTTCACATCAGCTGAACTACTACAAAGGTACATGCGTGAAATAACCATAGAAGAGATCCACGGAGTTATTTCCAACCACCATGAGCTCTTACCCAGCTATTATTTAGTGGACCCTGCAGAACAGGTGGCACTATTAGGAAGTAGACACACACAGCCTGTTTTCCAGGAAATGACTAATCTACTTGGAGAAGACCCACTTACTTGAAAATTGAAACCATGCTGCTAAACAGGATGTAATTCCAGCCAGTGTTTTCCTCTTCTCTAAGGTCACATCTTCCTAACACATAGTGGCATTTATTTATTTATTTTATTTTTAAGATTTTATTTATCTTTAGAAGGGAAGGGAAGGAGAGAGGGAGAGAAATGTATGGTTGCCTCTCGTGCGTCCCCTGCTGGGAACTGGCCTGCAACCCAGGCATGTACCCTGACTGGGAATCGAACCGAAATTCTTTGGTTCACAGGCCTGCGCTCAATCCACTGAGCTATGCCAGCCAGGGCCTGTGGCATTTATTGAGTGTCTTCTCTATGTATGGCATTAGGCTAGAAGCTTTTGGATAGCTTTTTTTTTTAAAGATTTTATTTACTTATTTTTAGAGACAGGGGGAGGGAGGGAGAGAGAGAAACATCCATGTGTGAGAAAAACATCAATCAGTTGCCTCTTGCATGCCCCCATCCAGGATCCTGGTCCGAAACCCAGGCCTGATGTGGCCTGATGACCAGGAATCAAACCGGTGACCTTTCAGTTCACAGGCCAGCGCTCAATCCATGGAGCCACACCACCCACGGATGGACTGCTTTAGGAATCCCCAAACAAAGCCATGAAGTGGAGGCCTGGCCAGGTGGTTCAGATGGTCGGAGCATCACCCCATGCATCAAAAGGGTTGTGAGTTCAATCCCGGGTCAGTCGGTTGGGGTACATACAGGAGATAACCAATCAATGTTTCTCTCTTTCTTTCCTTCCCTTCCTCCCTTCCTCTCTCTCTCTCTCTTTCCCTCCTTCCTCTCTCTAAAACCAATAAACATGTGTCCTCAGGTGAGGATTAAAAAAATAAAAGTAGAGCTCTTTTAAAAATATATTAGTAGAGAAACTAACCCTAAGGAGTCATGTCCCACCCTAAATTCCTAGTTTTCCTAAATCAAGAGAACAATCATAATCTTTGAAAACAGCTTTCAAAGCTCAGAGTTGATGAGGCACTTGAGTATTGAGCATACCAGGATCACAGAGTGTTTAGTATTGAAAAAGGGGGTACAAGATGTTTTATCAAAGTGAGTTTTGATTATCAACCAATAGATTGTCACTAAAAAGACCTATTGTCACCAATGAATAGATTCATTTTGTAGGAGCCAGTCAAAGAAAACCCTTTACCCTTCCAAAGAAAAAAATTCCCATAAGGGGACTAATTTCTTTTTTTAAAATATATTTTATTGATTGTGCCATTACAGTTGTTCTATTTCTCCCCCTTCATTCCCCTCCACCCTGCACACCATTCCCCCCCTTTAGTTTATGACCACGTGTCTCAAGTTCTTTAGATTCTATATTTCCCATAAAATTCTTGCCCTCCCCCCTATTTTCTACCTACTGTCTATGCTACTTATACTCTGTACCTTCTCCCCCCTTCTCCTTCTCCCACTCCCCTGTTGCTAACCCTCCATGTGATCTTCATTTCTACGGTTTGCTCCTGGGGAGACTGATTTCAAGATCACTTCTACAAAATAAGCATTCGATAGTGTCATCAAAGTGCTAGTGGACATGCCCAGACTGACCTCTGCTGGGCAGTCTATTAACCTGACAATATATTTTTTCTCAAGATAATATGGCAAGGAAAAGAGCATCTTCCCCAAATTATATCTATTATTTAGATTTATATAGCTCAATGTACAAATACTCACAAAGCCATCCACACACCTTACAGCAAAACCTTGTATAGCACTGGGCTGCCAGAGGCAAACGACCACGGGCAGAGCAGGATACTGATGAGATTTCAGGAGCTACCCAATCTCAATGCCCCCTTTGACATTCTCTGTGCTCTTATGCAGCTCAGGCTCAACGGTACATATGTATTAGAAGTACATTAAGAGCCCTGCTGACTGAGCCTGACTCCAGGGGCTTGTCAGGTAAAACTACAGAGCCCTTGAAGTATTTCCTGGGTGCATGTCACAAAGCTATCGTCCACCACTTTGTGGAGGTCACTTATGCCCCTAACTAGCCAATGGACACAACTCTGGTGTGTATGATGCAAACAAGCTGAACTTTAATATAAAATCCTATCCTCCAATTCATATAAAATTACAGAAAATAAATAAGACTTCCCCTAAAAATATTTTTCCATTTCTAATATTCTTTTAAAATACAGACATATCTTGGATAGTCCAGGTTCGGTTTTAGACCACCACAATAAAGCAAATGTCACAATAAAAAGCCAGTGATACAGTTGTTTGGCTTCCCAGTGCATGTAAAAGTTATGTGTGCATTATATTGTGGTCATTAAGTGTACAACAGCATTACATTTTTTAAAAAATGTACAAACCTTAATTTAAAATACTTTTCTTGTTAAAAATGCTAACCATCAACTCAGGCTTCAGCAAGTCATAATCTTCTTGCTGGTGGGAGGTCCTAAAATACAGTATCTGCAGAGCACAATAACACAAAGCACAATAAAACAAGGCGTGCAGATAAAACAGTGAAGAGGCGAGCATTGAGACCTCACGGTGCAGGGTCTCAATTTGGTGCTGGCTCACACATTTCCGCTCAGATAAACAGGCTGGGGTGAGTGATGGGACAGACTGGGCGGGGGGAGAGGACCGCCATTGCTCCCTCTCTGACCCTGCCCCCACATACAGCGTCACAACCCAGCGACCTGGGTGGCCTCGCCCTGGTAAACGACTAAGGCTCCGCTCCTCATACGTAACAGGCACGAACAGATCAAAACATGGCTCAAGAACAACTCAGAACCCCAGAGCCAATAAATCTAAGGGATGAAGAAATAGCCAAACTTTCAGATGCACAGTTCAAAACACTGGTGATCAGGATGCTCACAGAACTGGTTGATTTTAGCCACAAATGAGAGGAACATATGAAGGTTAAACTAATTGAAATGAATGGTAATGCACAGGAAACCAATAGTAATGGAAAGGAAACTGGGACTCAAATCAAGGGAGTAGACCAGAAGGAAGGAAAAAATGACCAAACAGAAAAGAATGAAGAAACAAGAACTCAAAAAAATGAGGAGAGGCTTAGGAACCTCCAGGACACCTTTAAATGTTCCAACATTCGAATTATAGGGGTACCAGAAGGGGAAGAGGAACAGTCATGAGTGAAAACCTTATTTGAACAAATAATAAAAGAGAACTTCCCCATTCTGGCAAAGGAAATAGACTTCCAGGAAATCCAGGAAGCTCAGAGAGTCCCAAAGAAGTTGGACCCAACAGGGAACACACCAAGGCACATTATCATTGCATTAGCCAAGATTAAAATGGAGAGAATCTTAGAAGTAGCAAGACATAAGGGGACAGTCACCTACAAAGGAGTTCCCATCAGACTGTCAGCAGATTTCTCAAAAGAGACCTTACAGGCAAGAAGGGGCTGGAAAGAAGTATTCCAACTCATAAACTCCAAAGACCTACATCCAAGATTGCTCTATCCAGCAAAGTTTTCATTTAGAATGGAAGGACAGATAAAGTGCTTCTCAGATAAGACCAAATTCAAGGAGTTCATCATCACCAAGCCCTTATTATATGAAATGTTTAAGGGACTTACCTAAGAAAAAGAAGATAAAAAATACGAACAGTGAAAGGACAGCAATCTCACAGTTATCAACAACCACACCTAAAACAAAAGCAAATTCAGAGGACAGCTAGACCAGGAGTGAACCATAGAAATGAAGATCACATGGAGGGTTAACAACAGGGGAGTGGGAGAAGGAGAAGGGGGGAGAAGGTACAGAAAATAAGTAGCATAAACAGTAGATAGAAAATAGATGGGGGGAAGGATAAGAATAGTATGGGAAATATAGAATCTAAAGAACTTGAGACGTGTTCATGAAGTAAAGGGGGGGAATGGTGGGGGAGGGGCGTGCAGGGTGGAGGGGAATGGAGGGGGGAATAGAACAAATGTAATGGCATAATCAATTAAAAAATAATAAATAATTTTAAAAAATCAACCCTGAAAAAAAAAAAGCCTTTCCCCTTTCTTCTGTAAATAGTTATTTCTGTGATTGAATACTGGTAACTTTTCTGTTTTTAATCAATTACTTTATTATATAATGTCATTTACAAATGTTATTATTTTTCTTTTATAATTGTACAACAATTTTAACAGTATAGTTATTTTGCTGTGGAAAAGAAAATTCCATCCTACAGGAAAGAGCAAACTCCTCAAGACCACTTACTGGCATTTTTATTCACATATTAGAGCGGGTCAGCCAGTGAAAATCCTAGGAAAAGAAAAGACAACAAACGTTCAGTTGACAGAAATAATTGTCTCAAACTGCATCCTCAGTGTTTTGCTTACTATACAATGTAAAAGTCCCATTACGCCTACATCTACCACATTGGTGGTAAGTAAGGTTTGTTTTTGGCCCAGTGCTTCACCCAGAAAGGAGCTAAAAAAATCCATAGTGAGCCTTTCTGTCCTCTCCCATTAAGAGAGTCTGAAAGAAACAGAAGGACACTCAGAAGAGAGAAGATGAAGGAGACCCAAAAAGTGTCAAGCTCCCAGGTCTAAGCAGGACCTGAGTGGGAAGAGCAGTGCAGGAAAGCCTTTCCCAGGACTAGTACCATTGCACACGTGCAGCAGGGACGTGGGTGACTACAGATTATGTCCTCCCGGTAGGACAGCCCACACTGGGAATCAATGACCAGCAGTGTATGGACGCAGAGACAACAATCAGTGAAAATCCACAGTCTGGGTGCTATCGTGGATGAAGCTTTACTGGAATGAAGACAAGTAGTATCAAAGAGGTACATGCAAGAAATAGAAGAATAATCCTCATGGAATAGTAAAAGAATAAATAAAAGCTGTATTTCTGCAGGAATGCCACCCCAAAATTCATTGAGAATTACTAATAAAACAGAATAATGAAAACCATATAGTGTAATAAAAGTTACGTGAATGGCTTTGGGGCCACATATAAGTAAAATAAAGGTCACCTGAACACAAGCGCTGGGATTCCTTGACAGTCTGATCTGATAATGGAGTTGGCTCACTTGGTGGTTAAGTTAGCCAACTAAGTAGCTGGCAGCTTGGTGGCTACTAAGTGGCTAACAGGTGGTTAGCACACACAGAGTGGGTGTGGGAGAGGAAGACACAATTCACAGTGCACGCACCTCGGGCGGGGCAGTGCAAGGTTTCACCACGTGACTCAAATGCTGCACAATTTAAAACTTACGAACTGTTTGGTTCTGAAATTTCCCATTTAATATTTTCAGATCACAGTTGGCCATGGGTAACTGAAACCATGGAATGGAAAACTTTAGCTAAGGCTAGCCTACGGTACTAACTTTGGGCTCTGATCCTCTTTTTCCAGTTCAACACTTTTTCTTTTTTCCTGAGGTCGGCATTTGTTGCTATGAACCTCCCTCTTAGAACTACTTTTCCTGCATCCCATAAGTTTTGTTACGTTGTGTTTCCACTTTCCTTTGTCTTAAGGTATTTTTTCAATTTTTTATTTCTTTTTTGACCCATTAGTGGTTCAGTTGCATATTGTTCTGTCTCTACATACTTGTGAATTTTCTAGTTTCCCTCTTATAACTGATTTGTAGTTTCAGACCAGTGTGGTTAGAAAAGATGCTTGGCATGATTTCAATCTTCTTAAATTTATGAAGACTTCTTTTGTGACCTACGATATGATCTATCCTGAAGAATGTCCCATGTACATTCAGGAAGAATGTGTACTGTGTTGCTTTTGGATTAAATATTCTGTATGTATCTGTTAAGTCCATCTGGTCTAACACGTCATTGAAGGCCATGTTTCCTTATTGATTTTCTGTCTGGATGATCTATCCATTGGTCTAAGTGGGGTGTGAAAGTTCCCAACTGTTACTGTATTGCTTTCTATTCCTCCCTTTAGGTTTGTTAATATTAGCTTTGTATACTTAGGTTTTTCTATGTTGATGCATAAATATTTACAAATGATATGTCCTATCCTTGGACTGAACCCTTTATCATTATGTAATGCCTTTGTTTTTATTACAGCCTTTGTTTTAAAGCCTGTTTTGTATAATGTAAGCATAGCTACTCCAGCTTTCTTTTGCTTTCCATTTGCATGGAGTATCTTTTTCTATCTCTCCCCTTCCAGTCTGCGTGTGCCCTTACACATGAGGTAGGCAGCACACAGACGTGCCTGACTTTTTCACCCATCCAGTCACTGCCTTTAGATTGGAGAATTTAGTCCATTTACATTTAAAGTAATTACCAACAGGTATGCATTTTTGCTGCTTTGTTAACTGTTTTCTAGTTGTTTTATGTTTCCGATCTCTTCCTTTTGCCAAAGTCTCACAATTTCAGTAGAATTTTATATATATATTTAATAGGTTCTAAATTAATTTATTTTCATTTCATTGGTGGCCCAAGTGTCTATTTGCCCATTTGTCCACTGTCTTGTTCCAAAAGATCTCACAGTAGATATATGTATAAAGAACCAAGACAAGAACTAGATGAAAAAATTATTTGCTCTGAAAACAATGGCTAATACACAATGTGGAAGAATGCAGAACAGGTAATATAATAAGAGAGGGCAAGTGGCAGGACCAGGATCAGAGGACAAAACTAAGCATGAAACGCAGCTTAATCTGGGATGGAAGAGGATCACGCTACACACTTTGCCAAAGTAGAGACCAAAGTAACTACTTTTTTAGAGGCCAAAGTAACTGATTTTGAATGTGGTTGCACAAATCATCCTGTTAGTCTCACCTCCCCCTGTGCTTCGCCCACTCTGTCAGCTGGCTGGCCTTGTTCCAGTTCCTCAGACTTGCCATAATCCCTCTCGCCACAGCCTTTACGTATCTCTTCCCCACCTCTTTGCTGAGTTTGCCCCTACTTAGCCTTTGGATCTCAGTTTCAGCAGCACTTCCTCTGAGAAGCCTTCTCTGTGGTCACCACATAAGTCAGACTCCGCTGCTGTACACTCATTCAGAACTGGGCTCCTTTCCTCTCCTCTGCCTCACCCTGTCGTAACGCACTCAGCTGTGAGGTGACTGGTTTGTCCCTCACCTCTGCTGCCCCGTTAGCTCCATGAGATGAAGCTGAACCTGGTTTTGCTCACTATACTCTTCTTTGCACCCGCCTAACACATATCTCAACAAATACTCATTGAACAAAACTGCCAAACTCAGAAATGGTTTAGAAAGAACTCTCTAATAACAGGGTACTCTAGTAATTGCATTTACCTGGGATTTCCGCATGGCTTGTGGCTCAATCATGATGTTGATAAGAGAAGGTTTAGCTGTTTCTGCCAGGCTTTGCTTCAGGGATTCTTGGAGTTCTTCTGGTGTTTGTACAAAATACCCTTTGCCTCCAAATGCAGTCATAACCTGCTCGTAACGTGAATTTGGCAGAAGACACATTGGAGGGACCCTGAAAAATCAGATCACAGCTTTTTCAAATAGAAAAAAGCAGATCACAAATAGAAAAAAAATCGTATCATTCTGACACAGTTTGTGGAAAAATTTAAGCTAAACTGAAAGGCACACTTTTATATCCAACACTTACATTGAGATGCCAGTAGACTAAACTGTCCATGATTTTACATTGTCTATCCAGCAAAGTCAAATATAACTTTTCTGTGATGATAGAAAAGTTTTATATTTGTGTTATCCAATACAATAGCCACTAGCAACCTTTGCTGTGAGCACTTGAAATGTGACTAGTTAAAATAAGAAACTGAATTTTTTGTTTGTTTTGCTGTTGTTTTAAAGGTTTTTTAAAAAACCAAAGTACAGCTGGCATACAGTATTGTATTAGGTTCAGGTATGCAGCATAGTGATTTGTCATTTGTATACCGCATGATGTGACTGCCATAGTATGTCTAGTAACCATCTATTACTGTGCAAAGTTATTACAATATCACTGACAATAGTCTCTGTGCTGCACTATACATCCCAGTGACTATAAAGCATACATACAATGAATATATTTATAACATAAATAATGTTTTATCACTGGAAGTTTGTACCTCTTAATTCACCTTTTTTACCCATCCCCCTCTTTCCCTTCCCACAGGAAACCATCAGTTTCTTCTCTGTATCTATGAGTCAGTTTATGTTTTTTGTCTTAGTTGTTTTTTTAGATTCTACATGTAAGTAAAATCATATGGTATTTGTCTCTCTCTGATTTATTTCACTTAGCATAAAACATCCCTCTATGTCCATCACGTCATTGAAAATGGCAAGAGTTCATTCCTTTGTACTGCTGAGTAACATTCCGTTGTGTATATAAACCTTACATCTTTATCCATTCATCTTCAGTGGACACCTAAGTTGCTTCCGTATCTTGGCTATTGTAAATAATGCTGCAATGAACATAGAGATGTATATATCTTTTTAAATTGCTGTTTTAGTTTTCTTCTGATAAATACCCACAAGTAGAGTTGCTGGTCATATAGTAGGTCTGTATTTCAATTTTTTGAGGAACCTTCGCACTATCGTCATAGTGACTGTACCAATTTAAAATGCCACCAACAGTGCCATGAAGGTTCCCTTTTCTCCACATCCTTTCCAAAACTTTTGGTTGAGTTTTTGATAATAGACTTTCTGACAGGTTTGAGGGAGTATCTCATTGTGGTTTTAATTTGCATTTCCCTATGATTCGTGATGTCGAACACGTTTTCATAAATCTGCTGGCCACTTACATGGCCACTTTCTTCTTTGGAGAAATACCTATTCAGGTTCTGGCCCGTTTTTTAATCAGACTGTGTATTTTACTTATGTAGAGTTGTACAATTTCCTTATATATTTTGAATATTAACCCCTTATCTTTTCTTTTTTGTTGATGGGTTTCCTTTGCTGTGCAGCAGATGTTTAGTTTGATATAGTCCCATTTGTTTATTTTTGCTTTTGTGGCCCTTGTGAAAGCTGACATATCCCCAAAGGTGTGGCTAACACCAATGTCAAAGAGTTTACTATCCACAGTTTCTTCTATAAGTTGATGGTTTCAGGTCTTATATTTAAGTCATGAACCCATTTTGGGTTTACGTTTGCACACAGTGTGAGAAAGTGGTCCAGTGTTCCCAACACCATTTACTGAAGAGACTGCCATTTTCTCATTGTGTACTTTTGCCTCCTTTGTTGTAGATTAACTGACCACATTAGTGAGGGTTCATTTCTGGGCTCTCTGGAACTGAATCTTTAACTGAATTTAAATAGCCACATGGGGTCAGTGGCTACTACACTAAATAGCACAGACTAACCATCAACTATTATGAAGCCAAAAGAAAAAAGGAAACAAAGGAATGGTTACTGAAAACAGCAAATAAGAGAACAACAAATGAAGCCAGCAAGGCACAGTGAACAAACCCCCGCCCTGCACCGCCCCCCGAGGCTGACTCGCAGATTCACATCTGCCCCCCACACCCCACCGCCAGCCACAGCACCGTCTCAGTTTGGCTCTGCCATCAGACGCTCAAGATTTAGCTATGTGACAAAAGGAGGGAAGATCTCTGGATGTAACCATACATATTTCTACATGGTGTATTTGGAGCACTGCGCAATAAGCTCTTTATCTAATCAATAAGGCTTGGGCATCATATCATGCCTCCGTCTGAGTCTTCGGTGGCCTCTAATCATAAACTATTTCGTGAAGTGCCCAGTCACGGAAGGCTGTGCAGAGGGAATCCATGCAGGCAGGGTCCGTGCCCTGGAGGGGCTGACAACATAAATAAGCAACACGCACAGCATGGAAGCACATTCCAACACAGCAGACTTTTAAGACAGAGTAAAACAGATGGAGAGCCCTGGCCAGGTAGCTCAGCTGGTTTGAGCACTGTCCCTATAAGCTAAGGTTGTAAGTTTGATTCCTGGTCAGGGCACATATAAGAAGCAACCAATGAATGCATAAGCAAGCGGAACAACAAAAATCGATGTTTTTCTCTCAAATCAGTAAATTAAAAAAATTAACATAGATGAAAGTAAATGTACATTGTTCTAGGTTACTTACACAATAGTAGCATCTCCAAATGTTAACATTTCCTTCCAACTGTTTGTATCAATACCTTGGTAAATTCCATTATTATTCACCACCAAAAGTATAATTGGCAAGTTGTACCTAAAATTGACAGCAAAATATAAAGGAAATAATTTTTCACCCTAAAGCAATTTATTTTCCTCAAGCTGAAATTTTAACTTAAAAATGAATAGTTCTCCATAAACATTTTTGTAATACTATCCTAATAAAAGAATATCAAAATAATAAAAGAATGTCCAGTCATGAACAGAAACATTACAGAGTATTACAAAGAAGGCAGGAGTAGGGTCGACAGACCTGGTTCCACTACTATGCAACTATGACCCCTGGGCACACCACTGAGCTTTTCTGAGCCTTGGTTTTCACAGACCCAGACATTAAAGAGAACGCCACTGTCCACGCTCAATACCCCCTGACGCGCCACCGCTTCTAGGTGGTGCCCAGGAGCACGTTCTGAATGGTGTCATTTTATTTATTGAACCCTCCCGGACAGCCCACACTTGCTAGATGCTTAGGGAGATACACAGGTGACTAGCCTACATTCTCTCCTGTCAGATCACTTCAGCCATAATTAGAAAAACATTACATGAGGTAATAATTAGAAAAAAACAGAGGATTTAACAATGTGCTAAACAGGATGATAAAGATAAAAAAAAAGGCTGATTAAACTTTACTAATGATGGACAAAAGAATATGGGCTTTATTTTCTACAGATATAATTTCTGAGATCAGTATGTACAAATATTGAATCATTATGTTGTACACTTGAAGCTAATGTAACATTACATGTCCATTATTCCTCAATAAAAAGAATTTCTTAAAAAAATAATTTCTGAGGTGAGGTGTAGAAACCAAACCAAACTGCACACTGTTGGTCCCAGGACTGTGGTCCTAGGCTCCCCGTGCTGAACGGAACGGCTCTACTTCGCTCTCTAGAAGGCTGACTGCCCCAGAAATCACCTTTCAGGTGGATATTACATGGTCGTCAACTAACGGGCACATACTTTCCCTCTGATTTGAAAAGTTTTATATACCAACACTTTCAAAGGCTCGGAACATGATTTACAAAAGCCCCAATAGGAGCCTTGGCTAAGAGAAGAATTGTTTTCCTAGTATAAAAAAGTGGGGAGAAAAGAATCCCCATATTTCTCTACCAGGATCTACAACTAATGAGTTTCTCCGAGTCCTCACAACTACACAACTATGACCACCATCTGAACAGCTCACTTTGCGGAGCAGTCGCCTCGAGCTTCACCAAGGACGTCTCAGCTGTTCCTCACAACCGTCCTCTAAGGCAGGATTCACCACTACTCCTGTCCTTATCTGAGAAGAGACTGGAGCTTGGTGAGATGACTCAATCCGGGTCACTGAGCTCTGCGGTGGTCAAGCCAGTATTTTAATTCAGGCCCTGTGACCCAGAAGCCACGCTTTTAAGCACCAAGCTCTGCTGTCTCCCTGCAGAAAACAAGCTTTTCCTGGACAAAACTTGTTTTCTGCGACCTCAAAACCACTCCCCACAGTTCTGTGGGACTCTGCCATGCAGCAAAGAGGTCATAGCTGGCTGTCCTGGATGAGAAAGACCCTGGGCTTGTTTACACTAGTATCTATGCAGTGCTGTGCACCGGTTACCTGACATATGACAAATGCTGGATAAGTATTTGTTAGGCAAATGGGTCTTGTGTGCAATTTTTCATATTTTGGAGAAAAAAAGCTCTGTTTCAGGGTGCTATTTTACCTGCAGATGGTTTCCACTTCCATGCCAGAAAACCCGAATGCACTGTCTCCTTCCACACAGATGACCCGCTGTCCTGGGTTTCTATCTTTAGCCACCAGGGCAGCTGCAATGGCAAACCCCAAACCGACTCCCATTGTTCCGAAAGTACCAGCATCAAGCCTATTGGAGAATAAAGCTAAAATGAAACCCTCTGGGGCGAGTCACAGATGGTGGGGTTGGCATAAATCTAGATGGAGTCACATGGTTCATGGAAAAATAGAGAACAGCAAACACATTCTCTTCCACATACAGTTTTAGACTTCGAGGAACTAATTTGTCAAAGATAAGCAGAATGAGAGAAAATGTTAACTCATGACTGCTTGTAAGACTGAATATATACTTAGAACCTTGATCATATAAATGATCACATGATCTTGAGGACTACAAGTATAAAATCTCTGTACAATTTCACTTAAGAATACTTTCACGAGCTATGTCCTTATACACTGGATATATGTAATTCTCAAATGTTTTATTAACCTCCACTGTTGTAGTTTCAAATTTAGCACATTATAATTCATTATGATTTCTTCTTTGGAAGCTCTACCTGTGACGAGGAAGGTAGTTCTGAAGCACAGTGCGTCCGATATCCATAGTATTAGCACCTTCACTTACTATAACACAGTCTCTGGGTAGCTGTTCTTGAACACGGTAGAGTACTGTGTAGTAATTCATAGGCAGGGATTTTTTGGAAGCCAATTCCTAAAATATTAGAGGGAAATATAATCATGTTAGATCAAGATAGGACAGTACACACTCCCAATAAGCTACTATCAAACTTACTTAGAAACAGGTTAACCGCTGCGAGCTAACGAGGTTCCCAAAGGGCAACCGACGGCCACTCTGAGAAGCTAATTGATCTATGAACAGGCCTCCTGGACGTGCTAAGAACAATGGGTCCCACGGTCCCAGTTTGGGACACAATCAAATAAGCCAGGTAATGTCCCCCTTTCTGGAGAGCCCCAAGGCATATTAACATATTAAAGACTGAGAAGACCTATAGGAAAGATAACTGGAAACACTGAGCTAAAGTCAGGGTTTGAGAACCTCTGGCTCTTCCTCACCTTCACTGGAGGGTGAAGGGAATCTGCTCCCCTCACTATTCTAAAGAGTCTCGGAGCTGAGAGAAAGCCACTTGGGGCCTTGGCAGTGACAGTCCCATCTGGTCCCAGCACTGCCTCTTCACCTGTGCTGCTGTGGCCCATTGGAGATTATTCCTAAGAAGGATGAGGGACCCTGCCATACTCCTGCACCAGAGAAGAGAGACAACTTCCTTCCATCTTAAACTATGGTGATTTCTAGGGAACAGAAGGAATTAGTCATGATGCCATTAAGGAAATAGCAGGCTGGCTCTTGACAGGAGAAACAGCCACTGATTGAAATTCAAATGAAAAAGAGAATCACATAAAATCAATTCTGCTTGTTTTAAAAATGTGATGACTGATACATTAGGAAAATAATATGAGTACAACTCAAATTTCATAGAAAACTATACCCAGCTCAACCAAGATGCATAGAAATGCACAAAATGGTGAAAAAAATCAGCAACAACCCTTCTCACAAAGAGCAAACACTACCTACACACCAAGACTTTAAACAGAAAACACCAAACCGCGCAGAGTGGCTCGTTCTAGTGCCAGTGGCGGGCGGCTTTGGTGGTTTCACGCAGAACCATCTCCAAAGCCTTCAGCTATCAGGAGATGCCAGGTGAGGAAGTCACAAAATAATCTCTAGGAAAAACTGAGACTGAATTAAGAAGGCTATAAATGTTCTCACAAAAAATAAATAAGTAAATATGAGGTGTGAATGTGTTAATTAACTGGTTGGCAGTTAATTCATAATGTATATGCATATTAAATTACCATAGTTTACCTTCAAATATCTCACAATTTTATGTCAATCAAACTCAGTAAAGCTGAATTTTTTAAAAAAAGAAAAAGAAGGCTGTATATTAGGTAAAAATTTCAACTTTGATGAAACACCTATCATAAATGCATGCCTTGAAGGACTTACATCTTAAAAGATACCAAAACAGGCCCCCAAATGCCCCAGGACTTAGAGCTCCGAAAGACCCTCACTGGCCTTCGGTGTTAAGGTCAAACTGAGCACAGCAGCTACAGCGTCCCCCACGGGCTCTCACAGCTTTCCGTCCAACGTCACAGCCTCCTCCCACTACGGTGGATCACAGCAGGAACTCATCCAACATCTACTTCCACAAGGAACTTCAGGTCTTTTTCAAGGACAAGTGCCATATTTATTATGATGAATAAATAAGTGTAAAGATTTTTATATATGAATGAAAGATTTTTCCATCATTTTTATTAGGGTCCCATCTTCATGTTTCACCAGGGTTTGAGAGCTGTGCCCACAGCCCTTCCCCCCGGGGAGCCCGGGGGTCTCTAGTTCCCGGCTGCACGCAGCACGCAGCACGGTGGTTTTTTTGGGGGGAGAGCACGTACCACGTCATCAGAGGCCCGAACCACTCCTGAGCTGCAGTGTTAGTTACCTGGGACGCAGCTTCGTTGCTCTTCATTTTTTCTCTCAGAGTTTTCCACCAGTTGCTCTCTGGAGGATACTCCCATGGTGTTTTATCAAATTGTTCTAAAAGCTAAAAACAAACAAATGAAAAAACCTCACAAACTTTTTTCTTTCCTTCTTGAAAATAAACTTAAATCACATCAACATAAAAATCTCGTCTTAAACACAACACTGCTATACTACCCTGTTCCTCACTTCACTCCTACTCCTAGTTCTCCCTCTGGGCAGCAAACGACTGGCAGAAGGTAAACGGGGAACATGGGAAGCTTGTGTTTGGGTCAGTGCAGACTTCTGCCAGATGCTGGGATTCCCACAGGCCCGGTGAAGCGCCACCTGCCCTGCCCTGCAGCCCCTCCTCACTGGCTGGGGCTACTAGGCCCTCCTGGGGTCTTGGGCCCTAGAAGGAAAGTCACCCCCTCCAGAGCCCTTCCAGGAAGGCCGACAGCCCAGGGATTCCCATAATACAGACCAGATAGATGCTCCAGGGTGTGTACTGTTTGGGGACTGCATCCCAATATTGTACAGTCACGAGAATAGCCATGATAACAATACCAACTTGTATCCAAAATCAAGTGATAAACGTGACTATACTTTATCTTCTGTCACAGTGAAATGTAGAAGTTGTGTACAAATAATAGAATCTGAACAAGTCACTGACTACAGTTTTGAAGAGTAAAAATCTCTTTATTGGCCAAAGGAAAACAATAAGTTAGATTTTTCCAGCATATAAAGCCACTTCTTGGCTGTAAGTTTAGTGCCTCTGGAAGCTGTATTATAAATTTTCACAATGCAAATCCTACTTAATAAATGACTGTTTGCCTACTGAATGCCTTTAAATTTTTAATCTCCTTCCAAAAATGTTTAACCTGCTCACATAAGAATGCTCTACATAGAAGAAGCTGGATTTACCAAGTTCCAAAGTTATATTTAAGAATAGCCTTCCATCGGGTTCCTCAAAGGTTAAAAATGGAACTGCCTATGACCCAGGGATCCCATTTCTGGGTATACATCCAAAGAAGTCAGAAACACTAATTAGAAAGAATATCTGCACCCCTCTGTTCACTGCGGCATTACTTATCTTAATACAATAGCCAAGATATGGAAGCAACCCAAGTGCCCATCAATAGACAGGTGGATAACAAAGCTGTGGCACATAGACACAATGGATTATGACTGGACTAGAAAAAGAACAAATTCTTACCCTTTGCAACAGCATGGATGGACCTAGAGGGCATTACACCACATGAGATAAGTCAGTAAGAGAAAGACAAATACCATGTGATTTCACTTACATGTGGAATCTAAAGAACAGTACAAATAAACAAAGCAGAAACCAACTCAATAAATACAGAAAACAGACTGACAGTTGCCAGAGTGGGGAGGGGGTCTTTGGGGGACTGGGTGAAAAATGTAAAGAAACTGAGGAGTCTACGTTGGAATGGTCGTGGAGATGGGAAGTACAGCATAAGAAATACAGTCAGTAATATTACAACAACTATGTATGGGGCCGGGTGGGTACTAAAAATACCAAGTGAATACTCTGTATAGTACATGACTGTGTAACCACTATGCTGTACACCTGAAACTGATACAAAATAATACTGAATGTCAGGAGTAGCTGAAAAAAGAAAAAAATCTTTCCATCCTAAAATCTGTTTAAAATAGGTATTATCAGACCTGTCATGAAGTGAATCAAGATTGAAATGTTTTAAAGAACTGACTTCTCTGAAGACCAATCCACATAAATTAAAACCCAGGGGAAGGCTCTTACTTGTTTAGTGACAGCACTGACGTCTCCTAGCAAAGTCACGGCAGGTCTTACATTATTCCCCAATTCTTCTGCACAGATATCGACCTAAAAGAGAGACAAGAATGAAGAGCAAGCCATGTTTTTTCTTAAGTTCTTTACAAAGTTAATTAAGGCTGAATAAAAGCATTATGCATACAGGGATGGGCAAAAGTAGGTACAAACTCTGTGCCAAGTGTGCTTGGGTACAGCAAGCAGATGACAAGAATGTAAGTAATGAAGGCCAGCCCTCTGAGCACTTACAAGACTGTGCCCAAGTATACTGTGCCACTGTGACATTCTTTTGAGTTAATAAAGTTACTGTAATAATCACAACCTGCATGTCTTTTTCCGTGTGAACAACTGTAAACCTACTTTTGCCGACCCCTGCATGTAACATGATAAAGAAGATGTGATGTTCAAGAAGTTCCTTAATAAAAGTAAAAATCCATGAGAGTTATATGAGTATCATACCTAGTATAGAAACATCATCATCTTCCCTCAATTCTACTCCGTAGAATTTTGGTGTTGTTCCACCATACCCACAAAAATACATTTGACTTGATCAATTGTAGTTTTTAATTTAATGAATAAGTTCCCACTTAATTGCCCTACTTAGAGCAATTATCAAATTTTAGCACATTATCAGAATCACCTGGTAGGTTCGTTATACTGTCAGTTTCTGATCTCCATAGGTCTGGGGCAGGGCCCCCAAATGGGTATTTCTAACAGGCTTCCCAGACAGGTGCCGGTCCAGGAACCACATCTTAAGAAGCACTCCTGGGGCACAGTATGCTTCCTTCCTGTTTACTCCGAAGCTCTGTCTCTCGATGGCTGTGGGCAAGTAAAACCAGCTTCTGCCAGAAGAAGTAATCGAGCCACCTCAAAGGGAATGCCCTTGATTCTGTAGCCAAGAGGGGCAATCAAAGAAGTGGGAGCATTTTCCTGGGACAACCCAGGTCTTGCCTGTTTGTGGTTTTATTTCTCAATGGCCCAATGGACTACTAGAAGTCGACTCTTTTAAGTAAAAGGTAAATAAGGGGAAGACTGTAACTACAGGTAGATGGTCAAATGCCACGCACACCACCTGTGCAGGATGAACAGGTCTGCACGCCACTACTGGTGTGGGCAGCACTTCACACACCAGTAAGGAAACGGGCTTATATGTAGGGCCAGAATGATACAAAAGTCATCAAAAGGAGGTCAGAGTATATTCTAAACACTCCGTTTAATAACTAGGGAAAAGCAGCACTGTTTAGAGATTTCTAACCAAAGGGCATTTGCAAGTTTGGCTACCTAAAAGAACAGCTAAATCCTTAACAATGCTCCATGTTTTGTTCTAATCTACCATCCTACTTAAACCTCTTTTGTCTGCCTTTAAATATACTTGAACTATGAAGAAGAGGCAAATTATACTTTTTGAACTATTTAAAGCTTGATTTTTAAATGTTTTCTGCTTAGAAGTGATACACTGTTTCATAGGCTTGAAAAAGCAGCTAGCTTTGGTACCTGTAATTATGTTAGACACTTTATAAAACTCTACTTTTGTAAAAGGAGAAATGGCTCTTTATAAAAGCCAAGAAGAAAGCCGAGCTGTTAAGGGCTGAGAAGGAGAACAATAAATTACAGACAGCTCCGATTTTAAATCTGTCTGCTCTGAGTACCTGGATAAACTTCACATCTGGTCGGTATCTTGGAGGCAGTCCGAAATGCAATATCCAATTTAATCTGGCACCAAATAACAGGATTACATCCGCAAATTGCAAAGCCCTGTTTAAAAGAAAAAACTAATGTAACACAAAAAGTATGTATTTATTATTTGAATTATTCTAAATTTAATTTCTAAAGTACACATTTGGATAAGTCTAAATAATTTGGAGCTTACATTAGTCTTCAGAATTAGCTTCTATGGTAAATTTGAACTTTCAATCTAAAATAATTTATGGTGCTATTCTATTTAAATAGTAATATAAAAGATGAAATAAGTATGCTCTTGCTGGTGTGGCTCAGTGGATTGAGTGCTGGCCTGTGAACCAAAGGTTCACCAGTTCAATTCCCAGTCAGGGCACATGCCTGGGTTGTGGGCCGGGTCCCCAGCAGGGGCATGTGAGAGGCAGCCACACATTGATGTTTCTCTCCCTCTTTTTCTCCCTCCCTTCCCCTCTGCCTAAAAATAAAGAAAGAAAGAAAGAAAGAAGAAAGTAGAAAAATATTATCATAGGACTATATCTATACTCTATTTCATTGATTACTTTTTTATTATTCAAAAAATTAATAAAAGTCCACTGTGAATAATCTGGAATAAGCAGGAAAAGTATAAAGAAAAAACCAAAAGCCTCCAATTATACTTAAACTTATAAACTATTATTAATATCCTGATGTTATTTTCATCCAGTCTATTTTTCTATGCAAGTATATTCATACATAGTTGAGCTTATTTAATACTGTCTCATGTACTTTTGCTTATAAAAATGTTGTCTTTTTTTATATTTCTAAGATGACTGATTGAGAGTCCTGAGTTACTTTAAAAAATATTCTCAGTATTGTATTTCTAAGATTTATTTTATAAATCTTAATATGTTTGTCAACATAACTTCTAATTTTAAACTTCTTTTTATTTTGATATCCACACTAATATTAACATATAGGCACCCTTGCTTTCATTTTATTCACTTCATACGTCTTTGCTTGTGTTTATTTTGTTTCAGATGTGGTTCGTACAACGCATGCAGCTGTTATTATTAGTGATCCAATCTAAATGTCTCCACCTTTTCCCAAGAGAATTCATTACCATAATTTCTGTGGGTTGTTTTTTCTTTTTTAACTCCTTACTTTTCTGCTTCTTGGCTCCTTCCCTTTTTTTTTTTTTTTGCCACAGAGGATAGGGTTTTGTCTTTTTTTTTTTTTTTTTTTTTGCTTTTGTCTTCTTCAGTGATATGGTCTATTTTTCACAGAAATTCAGTTATCATTTCAAGTATAAACTCAAAAACGTTATCTTCATGTAGGGTACTGGTCCTGTGTACCCAAAGTAGGAGGACAGATCTATGTACAGACACTCAAAACCCTTGAAATCACTGATTCAGTTAAATATGGTCTCTTGTCATCTTTTTTACACTGTTAATGTCATTAATATTATCTTCTTAAAATTTGGCTGGGACAAAGACAATTGTCAGTTCAACTCAAGTTAAAGTATATTTTTAAACAAATTTAGCATAAGAATTAATTTGGTTTCTATACTATGTATACTAATATAAAAAAGATAGACTCTATTAAGATAGCATTAAATGACCAACAATTAAAGGTTGCACAGCAAACATTACATTTTAAAAATCTTCAAAATTAATTTTGGTGCACGTGTGACAATATGAAAAACAGCAAATGCCCAACAGTGGTAACTGTGGAGAGAGAAGGAAGGAATGGGATCAGGAAAACTAGGCAGAGAGGGCTGGGTAAACCTGTGACTTTTTGTTTCTTAAAAATAAAATCCTAAAGCAATGACATATTACTTAATGTTATATTTGATAAAACTGAGCGGTAGTTACATTAAATTGTCCTCTCTTCTCTTTTGCACATTGAGAATATTTCGTAATGAATTTCAAGAAATTAAATGTATGTACATATATACACATATGTGTGTGTGTGTATGTAGTTTAACAAGAAGTGTGCTTTAAAAATCTAAAAACAGGGGACGTGTAGTGCCTGCCAAGACTGGGTAGGCCCACTACAGCCTCGCCCTCCCACTGATTACAACCGAAAACAAAACAGGAAAAGCAACCACCTGATGCCCCTGAAATGTACACCACAGCAGACAGACTGGGGGTGGAGTCAAATGCACACAAGGAGTGGGTTTCAGGGTCTGCCCCGCCCCTCGCTACTCCACCTCCGGGATGTGTCCCAGGGCAGCCCCAGCTCCAGAAGTGGAAGGCAGCAGAAACCTGTCTTTCTGGCCAGAGGATGCGGAAAAGGGACCTCAGCTCAGAACTTTCTTTTTCTCACTACCTGCCATGCTCCGAGGGCAGCCCTGCTGCCCAGCAGCAGCACTGTGGTAGCTCCCAGGCAGCTAAAATTCCAAGAAAAACATTTTTTCAGGTGAGAATAACTAACAGAACCCCATGTCATCTGAAGAGTATTGGGGAAATTCCCCTTATTTTTTATAGTTCTTTCTTTCTGTCATGTGGCCCCAGGAAAAGGAATGCCTAGAAATCAGGAGGGGAGGGTTTACTTGCTAGAGAGAAAAGAGCACTAATTCTGGATATGAACCAGCACATGTCTGGGGCTCACCCTGGGCTGTGCATGTGCAGACAGACCCAAAATTGCATAGCAAAGACTTTGTAACCGGGTGAGCCCGGAGCCCACAGTAAGAATGAACTTGCAGTCTGACATAACCATGCTAGCTGCTTGCTAAAACAAAAACAAAAATCAACATTCTACAGAAGATTTCATATGACCCGGAATCTCACAACATGATATTCAAAATTCCAGGATTCACTCCAAAATTAATACACGAAGAACCAGGAAAATGTGACCAATTCTCAAAAGAAAAGAAAATGAATAGATGCTAGTTCTTTGATGACCCAGATGCTGGAATTAGTAAACACTTTCAAGCAAATACTGTAACTGTCCCATGAGCTGAACAAAAATACTCTTGAAATACTAGGGAAGAAAAAGTTTTCAGCAGAGAAATAGAAACTGTAAAAGTGACAAAGAGTGAAAAGAATTGAACAGATATCCAGAAACCTATGAAATATTATCAAAATGGAAGTGGACCAGAAAAAAGAAAAAAAATGACCAAACAGAAAAGAATGAAGAAACAAGAACTCAAAAAAAAAAATGAGGAGAGGCTTAGGATCCTCCAGGACATCTTTAAACGTTCCAACATCCGAATTATAGGGGTACCAGAAGAGGAAGAGGAAGAGCAACAAGTGAAAAGGTTATTTGAACAAACAATAAAGGAGAACCTCCCCAATCTGGCAAGGAAATAGACTTCCAGGAAATCCAGGAAGCTCAGAGAGTCCCCAAAAAGTTGGACCCAAGGAAGAACACACCAAGGCACATCATAATTACATTAGCCAAGATTAAAGACAAGGAGAGAATCTTAGAAGCAGCAAGACATAAGGGCACAGTTACTTACAAAGGAGTTCCCATCAGACTGTCAGCAGATTTCTCAAAAGAGACCTTACAGGCAAGAAGGGGCTGGAAAGAAGTATTCCAAGTCATGAAATCCAAAGACCTACAACCAAGATTGCTCCATCCAGCAAAGCTTTCATTTAGAATGGAAGGGCACTTAAAGTGCCCTTAAAGATCAGGTCAAGTTCAAGGAGTTCATCACCACCAAGCCCTTGCTATATAAAATGTTAAAGGGACTTACCTAAGAAAAGGAAGATAAAAAAGATGAATAGTGAAAGAACAGCAAACTCACAGTTATTAACAACCACACCTAAAACAAAAGCAAACTAAGAGGATAGCTAGATCAGGAGTGAACAACAGAAATGAAGATCACATGGAGGGTTAGCAACAGAAGAGTGGGAGGAGGAGAAGGGGGGAGAAAGTACAGAGAATAAGTAGAATAGACAGGGGGAGGGCAAGAATAGTATGGGAAATGTACAATCTAAAGAACTGTGACACATGGACATAAACTAAAGGGGGGTATGGTGGGGGAGGGGTATGCAGGGTGGAGGGGAATGAAGGGGGGAGAAATGGGACAACTGTAATGGCATAATCAATAAAATATATTTTAAAAACACTATATGAATCTGAGCCCTGGCTTGGGTAGCTCAGCGGATTGAGTGCGGGCCTGCGAACCAGAGGATCAGTTCAATTCCCAGTCAGGGCACATGCCTGGGTTGCAGGCCTGTTCCCAGCGGAGGACGCACGAAAGGCAACCATACATTGATATTTCTCTCCCTCTCTACTTCCCTTCCCCTCTAAAGATAAATAAGTAAAATCTTTAAAAAAATATGATTCTTTCAGAATGTCTCCAAGTTGCTAAAGTCATAAAATTAATTCTGCCTAAAATCTGCCAAGTCCTTGTATTTAAAATATTTGAATGCCACACACCTGGATCTGGCAGCAGCTACACAATTGGGATGATTGTCAGGGACTACACCCTTCCCCATGGGGGTGGGCAAAAATGGCAATTGACATCGCTCCACCAACTTCCGGATTGCCTCCTCTGCCTGGGCATAAGCAGCACCTACAAGAAACGCAAATACATGGGACTAGTCATTAAGCTCCAGACACTGACCCTCGAAAGAGTTCATGTGAAATTGCTTTGAAAACTTCTCAAACATTCTCCTGCTTTTTCAGAACAAAAAACAAATGACTATGGTTTTCATCTTTGTATTTCAAAATGTTCAAGAAAGCAATAGCCCTAATTTCACCTTTAACAGTATTCTCAATTATTCTGAAGGATGTCCACCTCAAAACAGAAGCTGCATCTCATGTCGCCTGCTGCCCTCAATGCCTGTTCCCTGCTACAGTTCCGCTGAGTTACTGCTCACAATTCCCCAAACGTACCATCTGTATGGCTAGGCCCCGGTGGGCCAGGGAGGACTTGGCCCTCCCAGGGGAAGGCTCTCTCTAACCTGCTGTCCTAGTCATGGAAACTCTAACCAGGACACACGGTTCTGAAGCTCTGTAGACCTCTTCATAGGTTCTACAATTTAGTGACTGCAGTAGGGCTCACCCACATGGCTCTCATGCTTGTTTTTACCGTGTATGCCTACAGAATAACCGTATGCCCATTTCAATGACAATAAACAACTCACTGTTTGAGGGATGATTTCATTTTAATGTCAAGGCCACTATATTTCTTTTTAGCTATATAGTTTTATACTCGTTTTCAGGGCTAGTAGAATATTACTCCATATTCGGAATTTATAATCCTCTGCTAAATTCCAGTAAATAATATAGCATATGTCCAGATTTAATATAATGCTGCCGCTCATGAAACTACCTTAGAAAAATCTCTTTTCATACATGTCGGGTGAAAAATAAATGGTTCCTCTTTCTCATCCAGAAACCTTCCGCGTGTTCTCCTTCTTCCCTCAATATCTTTGCCCACCCAGCTCTCTCCTCTCAAAAGGCCTCTCTTCTCTCGGTCCACCCAGTGATCAGACATTTTCAGGGAGTAGCCTCAGTGTCCATCTCTTCTGGGGAGTCTGTCCGCACCAACAACTACATGCGTAAAGTGCTGCTTCCTCTGAGAATCTGCCTCACCTCTCTATACACACATCGCTCAATGATTTGCTGCACTGATCTGTCTCCAGGTCTTTCTTCTGGTAAGTTGGGGGACAATTATTTCTCTGTGTACCTCAAACACGTTTTCTATACTCCCACCCTTGTAATCACTCCTTAAACACTGGCTGGAGGAAGAATGAAAACTCGCATCCACTGAACTCTTTCTACCTATTGTGCTAGTTAATTATGACAATATCTTGAGGCAGTTAATCTCTCTCTCTTTCAAGTCAGGCATCTGAGACTCAAAGCAGTTGTTTGCCAAGATCAGAGAGCTAGTACATCATATAGCTGCATTCAACTCAGTTCTGACTTCAATTCTTTTCTGTTGTCCACCATTCCATCAAAGCAATTTTTAGTTTCTATACAATGGGTAAGCCAAAACTAAGTCCATTTAGTTTTTTTCTGTAAAATAAAAGATATATTTTTCATTTTTATCAATAACTTGATTGATTTGGATATTCTCAGTACATTGGCTTTTTCTCGCTATTGGCTTCCAGTGGGTACAGGTCAGGGGTGCTGCTAAATGTCTTCCAATGAGTAAGACAGCCCCACAGCAAAGAATTATTTGGCCAAAATGTCCGTAGTACCAAGGAACTTCACAAACCACTTCCAACCCATTCGGTCAGTCACAGCACCTTCTCCATACACTCACAAATCTTTTTTTTTTTTTGTATTTCAGTTTTTACCTTTCTTGAAATAATGAAGCATAATACACTGAAAATGTTGTGTATTTTCTTTCATCTTCAATATTAAAATAGCTACACAAATATTTACTAAATTTGATGTTTTGTTTAAATGCACACTGATATGACAGCTGTCACAACACAATCTAACAAAATTGTTTCAAATGAAGTTAAAAAGCACTACTACAGCTATTGTATGGAAAAAACCAAACAAGCTTTTTGGCCAACCCAATAGTTTCTTAGTAGTTGACAACTGACCAAGCTTCCTTGGTTCTAGAACGCAGAATGTATATTATAATAAATTGCCAAAAGCAGTATAAACTCGTGCAATACCTTGGGAGAAAGCAATTTGATAATATTCACCAAAAGCCTTAAAATATGAATATCTTTTAACTTAGTTAATTTTCTTTCTGGGACTCTGCTTTATATACTAAATATTGAAAAAGCTATAAGCACAAAAATGTTTGTCACAGTTTGGCAAATTTAAATATTTGTCAGTAAAGTTTTAATATATACATAAGTAGACATTAAAAATTAAATTTAGAGAAAAAAACAAAGACCACGAAAAAATGCTGTTATAATGTTAAATGAATTAAGTAGAATATGAAATTACTTATGTAGTATGATCACAATAGATAAAATATACATGCAAAAAGCAAGAGAAAAGTACTACTTGTTAAAAATAGTTGTTTTTGGATGGATTTCTTTTTAATCTTCTGAACTTTTCCAAACCTTTTATAAACATTTTTTTATAATGGAAAAAAATGAATTTTACTCCTAAGACCTAAGAAATGCAATAGGCAGTATTTCCTTAGAAGGATAAGAATGAGCATTCTAGAACAATTCTAGGATTTCAAAACAAATAAATAATACTATTTGGACAAGGAGAATTCTTATTCCACTTTCAAACATTAGAGCAGATAATAATAATGGAGACGACTTCTAAATAGAATCAGCATCCTTTCCAAAGCCCGCGAGAATCGCAGGTCCACTCAGTGCTACCTTTCCCGATGATGAGAAGGGGCCGTTCAGCATTCCTGATAACAGACGCCGCCCTGCGCACGGCGGAAGTCTCTGCGGTGCTCACAGGAGGGGGCAGGCAGCGCTCCACGTACCTGGAAATAACAGAGTTCCGTTGATTAAAAGAGACCCACTTTCAAAGTTTTTATTGTGAAAACATCCAATCTATAAAAAGGTAGGAAAAAAGAAGTACAATAACCTCCATATACTCACCATGGAGATTCAATAACTAACATCATTTTTCCACATTTGCTTCACACATACACACACAAACATACATGTAAACATTTTTTCCTAAACCATTTTAAAGTAAATTATAGGCACAACACTTAAAAACTTTCCTATGTAGCTCAAAAAGATAAGACTTTCATCTATATAACCCTATCTTTATCACGTCTAGCAAATTAAGTTATTCACTAGTATCATCTAATAGTCAGTCAAATGAGTAATTCACTGATAGGAAATCTGAGTTAATGGCTTAACACTGTAATAGCAGCAGTAATTGTAGTAACAGTAAAGACATACTAAAAGCTAATATTTAATACTTACTATGTGCCACTTATTCTCATTTAAATTTCAAAACCATGAGGTTAGGTATCACCATTATCTCCACTTCATCATTGGGGGAAAAAAGCCCAGAAAGCAAGTGACTTGCCCAGGGACCAGGGCATGGGGCAGTGGACTGAACCAGTTCATTCTGTCTCCGAAGTCCATGCTTTCAACTACCTTGCTGTGGTTCCGCTTGCTGGGTAAGTCAGTATTTTAGTACCACAATATGCATTAGTAAAGGAAATATTAAAACTGTACAGTTAAACATTTCTGGACACCAAGTCCTCACTCAATATTTTGTTTTGTTTTCTCTAATTAATAAACACCATACTGTTAAAAACTTAGGCACTATATATAATACCAAAAAAAGGACATTCGAACATTTATAGAATTTTTAAAGAAGACTTACAGAGTTGACTTACCTGACGCTCATCTCTCCCCCCGCCTCGCCCAATAATATTTTGAGTGTCACATTCAAGTATTATGTAGAATAGCTGTCCTTTTGGTCTGACTCTCCCAAAAGAAACCACTCCTTGGGATACTGAATGTACAGAAATGCCAACTTTCTCTCTGTAGTCGCTAGAAGGATACTTGGCCCATGAGAGCAGGAATGTACTAAGTGGTATCCAGGGAGATGCAATAACCCAAGTACACATCCTTATGAAGGGTGACTTAGATGCCAGTGGAAAATATTTTTTTGGTTTTCTTTTTAATGTTTCTTACACTTACTGTTCATTTAGTGTTTATTTAAGGAACAGACATCTGGTACTGGAATATTTTTAAATTACTGAGACAGACAGACTAAAATTGTTTACATGGTGTCCTAACAGTTTTTCAAGTCTCCTCATGTTTTGGTTTCTACTATAAAGACTCTAAATAACCACACAGCATTAATGAGGATGTATTATCTGTGGGTGCTGAAAGAATAATATCAAATGAGGAGTTCAGGAAGCTCCAAGTATCCGATTTAGTGATTAAATCCCAAAACAATTACAAAATAATACTATTTTAATTAAGAGAAACCCTTTGGCTAGGATTAGGTTTAATTTGAAATCATCAAAAGTTAAGACAAATGAAGATTAACTTCTAAGCTGCTAAGCAGATTTTAAAGGTAAGTATTATAACAACACAATTAAGAAAAAATCTAGCATAACTATTACTCACTTTATAGAATTCACATTTGCCTTGAGGCCCACGAAGTCTGCAGGTATATCAACATAGCAAGCACCTGGACGGCCATAAATACTGTTTCTTACTGCCTAAATTTATCACAAATAGAAGAAAATGCTGTAAAAATCTCAATCCTTAGTATCATATCTCACTCAAAAATAACTTAAAATTGTTAAATGAATAGTTCTAATTTTTCTGAACATCATAAGTTGGAGAAGCAAACACTTTTGATTAAATTTTAAGTACACAGTATTAATTCTATACAGAGTTGACCTTCAGTGTGATGGTTGGGGCACTGATCCCCCATGCAATCAAAAAGTGTAACTGTTGACTCTCCCAAAACCTCACTACTAATAGCCTACTGTTAACCTCATCAGTAACATAAACAGTCAAACCGACACATATTTTGTGTGGCATATGTATTATATATTGTAGTCTTTAATAAACTAAGCATGAAAATGTTTTCAGAAAAAATCATAAGAGAAAATACATTTACAGTACTGTATGTATGTTTTTTGAAATATTTATTTATTTTAGACAGAAGGGGAGGGAGGGAGAAAGAAAGGAAGAGAAACATCAATGTCTGGTTGCTTCTCGAGCTCCCTCTACTGGAAACCTGGCCTGCAACCCAGGCATATGCCCTGACAGGAATCAAACCACTGACCCTTTGGTTTGCAGGCCGGCATTCAATCCACTGAGCCACACCAACCAGGGCTGTACGTATTTATTTTAAAAAAAAAAACACCTGCATAAGAGTGGACCTGAGCAGTTCAAACCCTTTTTGTTCAAGGCTCAACTGTACTTTAAAAGGGGTTTTTGTTTAAAAGGAGACAGATAAGAAAGTAAATACTCAGAGCTTTAAAATTCACATCCTATTATACTTTAGTCTTAGAAATTCTCCTCTCGGCTCTGTTTGCCAAGCCTTCATAACACACATAACCTGCCTCCTAATCCTAACAACCTGGCAGTTTTCAGCAATTGTGATATTGTAACACATGACAAATGATTTCTGTAACACATGGTTTTTTTTTTTTTAAATATTTTATTTATTTATCTTTAGAGGGGAAGAGAAGGAGAGAGGGAGAGAAACATCAATGTATGGTTGCCTTTCGTGCGTCCCCTGCTGGGAACTGGCCTGCAGGGAACTGGTCTGCAGGGAACTGGTCTGCAACCCAGGCATGTGCCCTGACTGGGAATCGAACCGCGATTGTCTGGTTTGCAGGCCCGCGCTCAATCCACTGAGCTACACCAGCCAGGGCCTTGTAACACATGGTTTTGACAAAACTCAAATGTAAACCCACTCAGAGACGATCTTATATGCATTAGTACTGATTTTCAAAAATAATCTTTTGCAAAAGCGTAAGAGAAAGGACACCCAGGGTTCCATCGTATCTTTCTTTTCACTTTTCCCATAGTTATTAAAGTGCAGGAGAAACTTCTTTTTCAAAAATGACATTTTATGTTTCTACAATTAAATATAATGGCAGTGGGCACTGAAATGTATATAGCTCTTTAACAACGTCCTTTTTAATTATCTGAATATGTTCTAAATTGTTACTCATTCAATTGAGAATAAAAATGACACAGACATAAGCAACTAAGAAAAACCAGTTGATCTGGAGGATTTGTAAATACTGTACCTTTTCAATAATCGATGGAATAGCTTCTATGCTGCTTGGCCGGACAGAAAACTTGCTATACAATCTACAAGCTTCAACCTACATATAAAAAGAAAATCACTTAAAATTCAATTCACACATTGTATTATTCTTCAAAAGAAAGACAAAACGTTAAGTCATTACTTTCTACGATGTTCAGAGGCAAAATGGAAATAATGTATCACCTAGACTATTTTTTTAACTTATTTTTATTTTGTTGTATTTTTCTCCATTACCGTTTATCCCTCTACACCCTCTTCGCCTCCCCACCTCCTCCACAATGGACTGTTTCTTAAAAGCCTATGCAAAGCACCAGCAAATTTCTGCCTCAGCGTGATTCGGAAAGCGAATCCAAACAAGGTATCATTTCCATTTCTCAGACTGGCAAAAATGAACAACTCAGGCAATACACAGCCATCCATCACAACAGAGGAAAACAGGCACTCTCTTAAACTGCTGGGAAGAGGGGAAATGGGAGAAGTTGACAATGTCTTATAAAAATTAAAGTAAGTTTATCCTTGCACCCATAATTCCACAGCCAAGAAATACACAACTTCATGTTACTTCTTGTTACAATAATAATCTTATTCTGACATTACTGCCAGTTTTCCTGTTACATATTTTGCTGGTCTGCTGCTCGGGTCATGTAAATTCAGTTGTCTTAATTTTTCACTGTTTAATGTACTTTGAAACATTATGTAACAAGTGTTTCTCTCAATCCTTTTTGGTACAAAATCTTTGGAACATTGGGCAATCTTAGCCCCACAAACATGACAGAAGTAAGCTGACTCCCTAACTTTCAGTCTGTTGAGAGTCATGTCATTTAGTTTTATGTTATTTCCATAAGAAACAGATGTTTGGATCTTTCTCTTCAAACTTTTAATTTCATCTAGTAAACTTCTATTATTTTCCTTTTTGGGAAAAATATTTACAATAGATATTATCCTCAGCTTTTCTTCATTTATTTTCAAAAGATTTTATGTATTTATTTTTAGTGAGAGGGGAAGGGAAGGAGAAAGGGAGAGAAACATTAATGTGTGGTTGCCTCTGGTGAGCCCTGCACTGGGGACCTGGCTTGCAACTCAGGCAAGGCATGTACCCTAAGTGGGAATGGAACCCGTGACCCTTTGGTTCGTAGACTGGTGCTCCATCCACTGACCCACACCGGCCAAGGCTGCTTTTCTTCATTTATAAAGTTTTTGTAGTAACTTTAAATTTCCTTTTATATAACTTACCTGCTGTACTTATTTTTCAAATACATGTATCAGCATCTTTTCAATAACTGCTGTTATTCGCTACTGTTATCTAGGTAAAACGTCAATTCCCTCTCAAGGGTATAAAAATTTAACATTTTCAGTAACCTGTATCAAGATCTAGTTTAAATCATATACAAAATTATGTTTATATTTTGAAGGTCTCACAATGATTTCTGATATACCAATAGACTTTGCCTAACGGTTTTAACTTTGTGCTACAAACGCTCAAATTTATTCATGTCTTAGGTGTTAATCATTCACTCTCACCTATTTGCTTTCTAAAACTATTCTTAAAACTGTAGCATTCCCTGATATTTAAAATTTTTCAAATTCTTTTCTCTAGCTTAAAAAAATTTCAAATTCTTTTCTTTAGCTTTCCAAAATAAAAATGACCTTGTCCAGAGTCTACTGATAGTCATTTTGAATAGGATTTTTCCTCTCAACTTTTGCTTTCCCAAAGTCTGAAGGCACAGTCCAAAACCATTTTTATTCCTATATTATCTTGGCTCTTTGAAGAACCTATTTTTAGAGTTTAAAAGTCTGACACAAAGGTGTATTTCTTGGAAGACAGCTCCTAAGCAGAGTCTAAGCTTTCTTAATATCCATGCAAAAACTGTCTTGTAGTTCAGGGATATATACCTTTAAATGACCTCAGGTAATTTTCTTTCACTCTAATTATTTATTTTGCAGACAGAACCTTTTATTCCTTCTCCATAAATCTTGTTACGTTTATTTATTGAAAAATTACAGTTGACATACAACATTCCTCTCTATAAATCTTAATCTCTAGAGGAGAATCGTAAAGTCAGGTACCTGAGGGAACTCCTGGAAGGCTCCCATTGTCTCCTGGCTTCTTTCCGAGGACCCACCAATCACAAGCAAGGGCCTGAAATAGTCATTTTTTTTTAGAGAATTACAAATGAGCTCAACTTGTAAAACACTCAGCAGAGTGGCCAATAAATAATAAACACTCGATAAATGTTAAAAAAAAATGAAAATAACATTTTCTCTTAAAAACTGTAGATTTAAAATTTAGGAAAGAACCTAATGTGAGAAAACCCTTCCTCAATCTCAGAAAAATCTGAAATTTATAGTAAATGTTTTTCCTCCGCACCTCTCTCCCCTCCGCCCCTTTTGGGTGCTGATGCTAAACCTCTAGTTGTGGTGATGTAAACTGAATTTTTACTCCTTTCCTATGATTTCCGGGGATTAAGAAGAGAAAAAATTTTTCCCACACTTTCCTAAGGAAGTCTTTGAAAATGAGAGAAATTTCTCAGCAAAAACATTCTTATCTTTCAAGGGAAAAAAAAGATATAGCAAAGCTAAGTTTACTCAAAAAATATCAGATCCATAAGTAAATAAGAAAGAGAAAGACTAGGAAGGAAGGGGTAAAAGAACTATAGGAAACACAAGGCAAGAAAGAAAGGAATGTTCTTCCCACTAGAAAATTTGAGCACTTTATGAATTGATGACAAGATAATGCCCTTGAACAAGATCTTACTGGTAAAGTACCAGAGACAGGTTAAGGACAAGGTCAAAAAGTAAGTAACTTATAGAACAAATTCAATAAATATAAAAATTTTAATTGTCTTGCTAATTCTGCAGGAAAAGATGAAGAACTGGAATACATTCTTGCATACAGATCTGAGATCTTTAAAAAATAATTCTTCACTTAAAGAGAACTACTGATGTACATATATAAATAGATATATAGGGGTGGGTAATAGTAGGAATTTTTTTTGCCACTGCAACATTCTTTTGAGTTTAATAAAGCTATTATAATAATCATAACCTGCACGTCTTTTCTGATCGAACAGCTGTAAATCCACTTTTGTCCACTCCTGTATACATGTGTGCATTGCAAAATGTTAATAGTGATTACCTCTAGGTAAAGGAATTACTGATAGATTTTAGTTTTTCTTCCTGATACTCTTAATTTTTGACTAAGCCATTCTCTTAAATACTTGATTCCAAGTCTTCCCACCCTCGATCAGTAATTGTTCCACTAGGTAAAATCACGCGCTAACATTTTTAAGAAAATGTTTCCAGTAATAACAATCCAATTACCAACAGTTCATGTTTGCATTTGCCATACCACCCAAGGCGTGCACGAGACCTGGGCCAGAAACAACAAGGCATACTCCTGGCCTAAAAGCAAACACAATTGATTTTATTAAAAGTAGGTCAGATGCAATACTTGATTCATAACACTTAGGGTGAAACATGGTAACTTTCCTGGACTTCAAAGGAAGGACAGATAGATTTTTTTCTACAATGAGTAAAACAATTATTAAAATATTTTTGCATTACAAAACAAAAGAGAGAAAGGTACTCCTTTCTTGCAGGTATTTCCTGCAGGTACTCCTGCAAGAAATAAGGTACCTGTCATTTTCACATTGCATTTCATTAAACTCTTCATATTTTGCTCCTATTATATTTGGCTAACTCAAGCTTACTCATACAGAAGCAAAGTTTTGACTGCTGAGTACATTTTTGTATGAAAAAGAGAAGTGCCTAAACATTTTTTAACAAAATGTAATCATCAGTTAATCTTTGACAGAAAGAAATTCTGAAATGGTAGTGTTCTGCCCAATTTTTAAATTGATGCTTGAATGTTTTTACCCTAGATGACTTTCTAAGCTTAAAATGCCATGGAAAAGGTATCTTCCTATAATTCAGTTTTTCATTTTGCATTTAGAAAGTATTTTCTTAATCAATTTAGATTAGCCTTTAAAAGATGCTGAAGCAAAACAAAGACTTTAGTTTACCTGCCTGTCAGATATCCAACCGCAGAGGCAGCATAACAAGCCTACAAAGAAAAAACACTGAGACTTCAATATGTGAGATCCTCAAGGAAGTACACATGTAATGATTTACTGTAAAGAGGTTAGAACTTAACTGTCAAGGAGGAACTGGAACACCTTCCATTTTATCAAGTAATGTTCTACTTGTTAATTTCAAATACTAGTTTACATATTAAACCTAATTTTTAGTTTTTTAAGAAGTTTGTCCATATGATCTAGTTTATTCATAATATCCTCTTATAACTGCTTAACTATATTCAGGGTCAATAGGAATGTGATCTTTTTTATTCCTAATATTGTTAATTTGTGTCTTTGCTCTTTTATTCTTCATCAGTCTTGGTTGGGATTTATCAAATTCATCAATCTTTTCAAAGAAACAATTTTTGGTTTCATTGATTTCTCTCTATTGTTTTTCTCTATTGTTCATTTATTATTCTCTATTTCATTTATTTCTGCTCTTATATTTATTATCTTACTCCTTTACTTTGGGGTTTAATTTGGTTTTCTTTTTCTAGCTTCTTAAAAATGTAAACTTAGAGCACTGGTTTTTTAACTTCTTCACTAACAAAGTCATTTGAAACTATTTCCTCTGAGAACTCCTTTAGCTATCAAGAGTTTGGTGTCTCATTTGTCATTATCATTCAATTCAAAATATTTTGTTTTCATGGTGATTTCTTCTTCAAAATATTGGTCCATAGTCTCCTTTTTAATGCCTGATATTAGTAATTTGTATCATTTCTCTTTTATTCTTGATCAGTCAACCCTGAAGTTTATTAATTTTATTAAACTTTTCAAATATTTACAAAGTACCAAATGTGTTACTTAATTTTCAGAGGTTTGGGGATATTTTAGTTATCTTTCTGTTACTGAATTTTAGTTAATTTCTAAATGCTCAAGTTATATATACAGTGTATTTTCGGTACTTAGAGATTTGTTGAGATTTCTTCATGGTTAGTTTTTACTTTAAAAAAATTTAAATTATTTTATTTATTTATTTTTAGTGAGGGGGGAAGGGAGGAAGAGAGGGAGATAAATATGTGTGAGAGATACATCAATCTGTTGCCCCTCACACCTCCTTCCCTGGCCTGCAACCCAGGCACAAGCCCCAGCTGGGAACTGAACTTCGGTTCACAGGCGGGCACTCAATCCACTGAGCCACACCAGCCAGGGCACCTATTAAACTGTATTGCAGTTCATAATAGGAAGAAAGAGGAGATGCTTAATTAAATACAAGATAACCTGGAAAAATTCTTCTTCTTAGTCAGGGACATAATTTTTTCCAGTTATTATTTCCTCTCTTTTTTTGAAATAATATTAAATTGGGTATTTTCTAACCTCCACTGAATGTTATATATGATATACTGAACTTAAATAAATCCACGTTAAGGACATAAGCATAAAAATTCAAAAATAAATTACAATGAACCATAATCTAACTGGTACCACTACCACATGCCCAACTAAGAAGCTGAAATTGCACAAAGGCTCCGTCCTTTTTCTGGGTTGCTGTTCCCTATGGGCCCTTATAACCTCTCCCTTCTGCATATCAGGCCGAATTCACATAGGACAGCCGCTATGTCCTATATAGGCAGCCGCTATGCAATGCAATGAGTGAAATATCTGCTGCAACAAGAACACTATTGGGCCACTGAGGAGCACTGCCCACTGATTAAAGCAGGGTAAGAAATCTTGCTGCAGAATGCAAAATACAAAACAACATGTAACAAAAATTATATTCTTCTGGTAAGAGGTGTTGAAGTTGAAAAAGAACTGGTTTTATGATCATAAAATATCTATTTCTGTAATGAATCACCCTCATTCACAGGTGGAATAATGTCTGCAGTATTTAAGACAGCAGACTCTGGAACCACACTGTTTAATTCAGATGCTAGCTCCCCTAACTTCTCCTGTGAACATTTAGGAAGTTACTCTGTTCCTGATTCCTCATCAATAAAATGAACATCATTCACAGCATTGCTGTGAGGATGAAATCAGCTAATACATGTAAAATAATCAAAATGGTGGCTGCAAACAATAAGCTCTCAATAACAATGAAATTCCTAATAGTCTGACTACCTCCTGGAAAACTGGCCAATACATGTGTTGATTTCTCTAAGAATGTAATGAAAGACAAGCTACAACCAACTACACTTTTCTCTTAAGTACAGCTATGTAATTGGAGGCCAAGACCTTTTCTGCCTCTCGAATGGCTTCTGGACCTGTTTTCACACTCTGGTTAAGGCTTCCTTTGACTGATGGAAAGAGTGAGATCGACTGCAGGGCATGTGCACTCAGAATGTCCTACAGGCATCTCAAACTAATTATGTCCAAATCTCAACTCATCGCCTTTTCCCACCACACTGGCTCTTTTTTCTGTATTCCCTACCTGAGTCTGTGGCACCATGATCCACCTACTTGGTTAAGCAAGCCCAAACCTAGAAATCATCTCCAGAAGTGCTTGTCCTCTCCTTCCCAGCCGGTTAATGTCTCCTCATCCTTCAAAGTAGCTTGGGCATCACCTCCTCCAGGAAACCTCTGAAGTCTCGGACTGAGCAGGGTACCTTTTTCTGGACCTCCGTAGCACCTGGCTACGGTGGTAACACAGTAGTTACCACATTATAATAAAACTGTTTGTTTCTGTCCCCAAAGCTGGGTTATAAGCCCATCAAGGACAGGAAGTGCCCTTCATCTCCATACCCAGTATCTAACAGCTAAGGTGGCCCACACCTGAGAAGGCCTACGGCTAAGCTTATGGGGGCTGAAATAAAACTTCAAGCTGCCTTTGGATCCATGCTCTGTACTACCACCAAAATCATCTTTCTAATATAAACCTTATTAAATGTAAACCCTATTTATAGAAACCTTTACAGTCTCATCCAGTGCCTACTGAAAAATGTCACACTCCTTTCCCAGCCATTGATTCTCTACAGCCTTGCCTCAGCCTCCATAAGCAGTCTGACAGGCTACCATGTCCTTAGGTTAATTGATGGAACAGTAGGAAGACACATTGACTTTATAGGTAATAATCTTTGTCCTACTCATAGAGAACTGGTCAGCTGTTAAATGTTCTGTCCATTATACATACACCTATTCTGAGTGACTATACTAGATAAATTTTTTCTTTGGACACACCTCACCCTCACCTTCCCTCACCTTCCCAGACTGTGATCAACATTCAGATCAAGGCCCTGCTGCTTCATTAGATCTCCCACAGGTTATGTAAGATAGCACTGGGCATGTAATGTGTACTCAATAAATATATGCTGTATGAAGAAACTAGACATACCACCACTAGGAAAACCAGTAAAATGTAAGTCCCATTAATAGGTCATTAGCTTCATCTTCTCACACAGAAGAAAGAACAGAATGTTGTTCCGACTAAGAAAAGCAGAAGGTAGAAGCAACACAAACTCAAAACCTATTAGTTTAAAAATTTTTTTAAACTACAATTCTCAAATTTTATAGATAAGGAATGACATTCAATTAATAAAAGTGTACTAAGCACCCACATGCAAAAGCCAGGCACTATGGAGATATAACAAATGAATCACAATTCCTGCTCTTCAGGAAACCACATCTGATGGCAGAGGAAGGGAGATCAAGAGCCCGAATTCGAGGGCAACAGTGGGAGTGGAAAGCAGAAATGGTTAGCTTGATGGACTGGTGGGATATGGCATTGCAGAAGTGGACTCTTGATCTTGAAACCAGCATTTCTGAGAGAGGGGAGGCTAAGCTGACAAAATGTCCTATCTTCCTTTCTCACGGTTCCATATAAGCCATTAAGAAAAGTGGCAGCGTAATGTGGTGGAACGAACACGGAACTGGGATTTAGGACACCCAAGTTCCAATCATGGCTGTACCGTCTGGGACTGGTCACCTTGCAGAGCCACCTACTCTATGAGATTTGGCCTTCATCCAGTCAAAGTGCAGGTACTCTCAGAGTACCTATCGTGTGCACGAACCCCTTATGGGACACAGATGTGTCAAGAAGAAAATATCCTCACCCTCTGAGAGCTAACAGACTAACAGGAAAGTCAGAGTAGACAAATAATACACATAAATAAACATATAACAGGTAATTACGCGAGTGAAGTTCAGAGGATTCAGATTCGGTCCTGGAAACTGTCCCAATTCTGACACTCTCCACTTGGCAGAGCACAAAAGTGCACGGTCTTCGAACCCAGAATAAAATACCTGGGTTAAAATCCTGACTCCACCATAACAGTTGTCACCGCAGGCAACTTCACCCCTCTGTGTCTCACTTTGCTCATCTGTCAACTAGGATTAGTGGGTCCTGTCTCATAAAGTTGTTATGATTGATTCGTGTAAAGTATCAGAATAGTCATAAGCACTGAGTGTCTGCAATGAATATGTGCCATTATTATTCATCAGTAACATGCACTGGGCTCCCAGAGCCCATACTTACTGCTTGCTCATTTCGCATCCCGACGTATCTGATGCCCAGCTGCTGGGCAGCAACGGCGATTTCGGTCACTGGGATGCCTACGACGCCAAACATGTACTTCACATCCTGGGAGGCGAAGAACAAGAGGGTATATGTCCCGACTACAGCTACAAAACTCCCCCCACCCCCGGGGGCGCTAAAAGAAAAAACCTCATGCGAACCCCCTGCCCCACCACACTCCCCAGCTCCAACATATCTTGGCCCCCGCCGGCTTCCGTAGGAGCCTTTCACTCGGCGCAAGTCAATCGTACTTGAGTTTTCAGGGCCTGAGCGATGACTGTAGCACCAGACACCTTCTCCTGGCTGCTGTGGCTGCGCTTTGCGAATTTACTTTCCGGCATCTCCAACATAAAACTTCAACTTCCCAAAAGGCAGCAAGCTAACACGGAGCTGCCAAAATAAAAGGGCCCGAGAGAAGAGGCGGGCTAAACTTAGTCCACGCTCCTGAGCTAGTGAGAGTAAATATTGGCTCTCTCCAATCAGAACCCTGTCACTCTTTTGCACGCCCCTCCATTCGCGGGGTCAGAGTGTCAGGAGGAGGGGCTAGCTGGAGGCTTCCGGTTCTGCGGTGCAGGTAAGAAACCAAAACATTCCAAAAACATCCCTGGCCAACCGTTTCCGGTCCTCTCGTAGGCACCGACGACTGGGAGGAGGGTCTGAAGGGGGCGTGGCTCTGGCTGGTGCTCCTGGCCCCGCCCTCGCCTCCGGGTCTCTGGGGTGTGCGAGCAGACACCGCAAGGGCTGTTGAGTTGAGATCGTGGCGGGCAGGTTGGCTTCCAGGATTGGGCAGTCTTTGCCTTGTTTTGTGCTGCTTTCGTGTCGCCCGTGTTCAGGACTATTGCTTACACGCGTTTCAATATATTCTTTCATAACTTTGTGGCTTTGCAATCCGTGAAGCATAGTCATACGTGTTAATTAAATCCGTAAGCTTATGTGTACCCTTTACCCCAGTATTAGAGTTGAGGACACCCGACTTCCCAAGCAGGAGATGGAGTAACTTGCCCCGAGCCCTTGGACCCAGACTGTACCTCACATGCTCAGTCTTGCCGCGAGAGCTGAGATGGGCGTCTTGAATCTAGTTATTTGTGACTATTGTTCTCTCTAACCCTTGCCAATAAACCCACATTACTCTCCACTCTTGTTACAAAGTCAATAAATGTGGATTTTCATAATTCTTAGATTCATTCTCAATCTATAACGAGTCCCTGCAGCTGATAACCTTTCAAAACACATTTTTGTGTTGCAATGTGCGCTTTTTTTCAAAAATATTTTATTGTTTATGCTATTGCAGTTGTCCCAATTTTCCCCCGTGTCCCCCTCAACCCAGCCTGTCCCCCACTCCCATAGTCCCCATACCGTTGTCCATGTCCATGGGTCATGCATATATGTTCTTTGGCTAATCCCTTAACATATTTTCAGTTCGTCCCTACCTCCTTTGTTCCCTCTTATGGCTGTCATTCTGTTCCACGTTTCTATGCTTCCAGTTCTCTTTTGCTCATGAGTTTATTTTGTTCACTAGTTTCCAGCTATAGGTGAGATCATATGGTATTTGTCTTTCACCAACTGGCTCATTCACTTAGCATAATGCTCTCCAGTTCCATCCATGCTCTTGCAAAAGGTAAGAATTCCTTCATTTTTACTGCTGTGTAGTATTCCATTGTGTAACTGTATCACCGTTTTTTGATCCACTCATCTACTGATGGGCATTTAGCCTGTTTCCAAATCTTGGATATTGTAAATAGTGCTGCTATGAACATAAGGGTGCATAAATTCCTTTGAATTGGTGTTTTGTGATTCTTAGGGCATATTCCCAGCAGTGGAATTGCTGGGTCAAAAGGCAGTTCCATTTTTAACTTTTTAAAGAAATTCCATACTGTTTTCCATAGTGGCTAGACCCATCTGCATTCCCACCAACAGTGTACTAGAGTTCCCCCATTCTTCACATCCTCACTAGCACTTGTTTGTTGATTTTAATGATAGCCATTTTGGCAGGTCTGAGGTGATATCTCGTACTTTTAATTTGCATCTCTTTGATGGCCAGCGATGTTGAACATTTTTTCATGTCTATGGGCCATCCATATGTCTTCTTTGGAGAAGTGTCTATTCAGATCCTTTGCCCATGTTTTAATTGGATTATCTGTCTTCTGGTTTTGAGTTGTGTAAGTTCTTCATGTATTTTGGAGACTAAACCCTTGTCCATTGTATCATTGGCAAATATGTTCTCCCATACAGTTGGTTCCCTTTTCATTTTAATAATGGTTTCTTTAGCTGTGTAGAAGCTTTTCAATTTGATGTAGTTCCCATTTATTTATTTATTTTTCTTTATTTCCCTTGCCCTAGGAGATAGTATCAGCAAAATATTGCTATGCAAGATGTCTGAAATTTTGCTGCCTGTGTTTTCCTATAGGATTTTATGGTATCACAACTTCTATTTAAGTCTACTATCCATTTTGAATTTATTCTGGTGTATGATGTAAGATGATGGTCTAGTTTCATTTTTTTTGTAGGAACCAGTCCAGCTCTCCCAACGTTATTTATTGAAGAGACTCTCTTAATTGTATGCTCTTGCCTCCTTTGTCAAATATTAATTGACCATCAAGACGTGGGTTTATTTCTGAGCTCTCTATTCCATTCCATTGATCTATGCATGTGTTCTTACACCAGTACCAGACTGTTTTGATTACAGTGGCCTTTTTGCATAGTTTGATCAATCAGGTATTGTGATCCCTCTAACTTTGTTTTTCTTTCTCAAGCTTGCTGAGACTATCTGGAGTCTTTTTTGGTTCCATATACATTTTTGGAATATTTTTCTAGATCTGTGAACTAAGGCATTAGTGTTTTAATAGGGATTACACTGAATCTATAGATTGCTTGGGTAGATGGACATTTTAATGATGTTAATTCTCCTTCACGAACACAGTATATGCTTCCACTTATTTGTATCTTCCTCATGTTCTTTCCTCGGTGTTCTATAGTTTTCTGAGTACAGGTCTTTTACCTCCTTGATTAAATTTTTTCCTTAGGTACTTTATTTTTTTTGCTGTTGTTGCAATAGTAAATGGGACTGTTTTCTTAGCTCTCTTTCAGATAGCTCATTCTTGGTGTATAAAGTACCTTTGCATCCCACCAATTTGCTGAATTCATTTATTAGGTTTAGTGTTTTGGTGGAGCCTGTAGGGTTTTCTATGTACAATAGCATGTCATCTGAAAATAATGACAGTTTTACTTCCTCCTTTCCAATTTGGATGTCTTTTATTTGTTTTTCTTGCCTGATCACTGTGGCTAGGACTTGCAGTACTATGTGGAATAAGAGTGATGAAAGTGGACATTCTTGTCTTGTTCCTGATCTTAAGGGAAACACTTTCAGTTTTTGCCTGTTGAGTATGATGTTAACAGTAGGTTTTTCCTATATGGCCTTTATTGTGTTGAGGAATACTCCCTCTATTCCCACTTTGCTGAGCGTTTTTATTGTAAATGGATGCTCTACCTTATCAAATGCTTTTTTGGCATCTATTGATATGATTATGTGATTTTTGTCTTTTGTTTTTGTGATGTATTACATTTATTGATTTGTGAATATTGTACCATTTTTGCATCCCTGGAATAAATCCCACTTGATCGTGGTGTATGATCTTTTTAATGTATTGCTGGATCTAGTTTGCTAATATTTTGTTGAAATTTTAGCATCTATGTTCATCAGAGTTATTGGCCTATGATTTTCTTTCTCCAGTCACAAGGAGTGGAACTTGAAATATTTGAGAATTTGGAGTGTTTTAAAGTAAAAAGACCAGTAATATGAGGAAAGTAAAGAGACAAGAAGAGAGAGGAATGGGTCATGGGCAGTGAAATGAATGAAAAGCATTGGAAGCAAAGGATTTCTAAACCCAGAGATTTTCAAACTATAGCCCTGGACCCTTCCTAAATGTCTTCCTGTCTTCATTTCAAGCCCTATCCCCATCCCCAAGCCAAAGAAAGTGAAAAGGTTGCCTCTCTAGAAATGGGGACCTAATCTAAAGGTAGTCCTTCGTGGAGATTTCTTTGAAGTCTCAGAGTTCATCTGAAAGACAAATGGGCCCTGACCGGTGTGGCTCAGCTGGCTGGGCATCGGCCAGCAAATTGAAATGTTCAAATTCGTAGTCAGGGCACAAGCCCGGGTTGCGGGTTTTATCCCCGGTCAGTGTGCATACAAGCAGCAACCAAGTGATGTTTCTCACCCTCTTCCTCCCTCCCTTCCCCTCGCTAAGTAACAGATTAAAAAAATAAATACATAAAATCTTTTACAAAATGGAAATTTTGCATTCTACACTAAAATGCATTCATATTTTAATGTGAAATGATCTTTTTTGATGTAAAATAAACAGTTAATTAAATGTACAGATCTTAAATATGAGATGAGTTTCAACAATTGTATATACCCATGTAGCCACCACTCAAAATAAAAATGGCATTCTAAACTATTTATCTGTCAAGTAAAACTGCCATTTTGTAAAGATGCAGACCGTCTGTGGTTTTGAATAGCCCTTGGCACAGCCTCTCCTGTCCCTGTTATAATAAAAAGCAAATGGGAGCTGGTCTTGGAAATTCCTGAAGCAGACCAAACAAGTTCAGTCATTCAGACAAAGCCTAATTAAGCTTATTTTATGAGATTAACTTGACCCTGGTTGTTTCTTGCTCATGCCTCTGGAAATCATAAGTACAATTTGAAATTTCCCGAAGTTGAGCTGAGGTAACCACTGAAAATTGTAACAGTGCAGCCGGTCACTGTGGAGAGCCACTGCTTTCTAACTCTCTAATCTCCTTTGTAGCCTACCCCCCTCTTTGGTTTGAGTGCTCCCAGTTTGTAAACTCTTTTTGGTGTTTTTACAACAAACACTTCCTAATTACTACTTTAGTGAGTCATTGGGAGCTTCTCTTATTCTGATTTTTTTGGCAGAGGTGTGGGCCCCACCCCTCCCGTGTGCAACATGGTACAGACCAGTGCCCGTGTGACGGCTCCATCCGCACTGAGTCAGGATCCCGCAGAAAGCTGGATGAAAATACAGTTCCTTGGGCCCTACCTCACATCTTTTGAATAAGCAACTTAGGAAAAGTTAGGCACCTGCACTTTCCTTTTTTTAAACTGCTACCTTATTTTGGTTCTCAGCCCAACTTGAGAACACTAGTGTTACTGAACAACAGGTCCAAGGGGGGAGGCAATATTTGGCCCACCTAGGGATGCCAAAAACTGCTACAGAACAGGGGTCCCTCCCAAGGACAGAATACTAATATCTACTGGGCTCTTCTGTCCGCCGCCAACTGGAAAGACATCTCTCAATGCCAGAGATTTGTGAAAAGGAAATGAAATGTTTATTTAATGCTGTTCAGGCCTAATGCCTCCACTAAAATATCAAAGTCTTTTAGGGTATACACCTTACACACACACACAGCTCTCCCATCTCCCACTGCCCCAACTCTGGGTACCGTAAATCAGGAAAAGAACACACATCTGTTTTTCAGGCTACTGGCACTGTCAGTTGTATCACCATGCAGGCAGGATCTCTCTCTAGTTGATCCAAAGTTATATGGTACCCTCTCACGGTCCACTGGCAAGAGTTCTTTGTACCCAGTTCCAGTCAAAGTCTCTCCTGCTTTCCAGGCCACTCGGCCAAAGGGGGCACCCCAAAGCCGCCTGGGCCTCTTCTACCGAAGCTGCAGGGGTCCGCACTCTGACCAAAAGCATGTAGCTTTCTTCTTCACCTGGCTGCAGGGGTCCCCACTCTGGCAAAGCTGAGTGGTACACTCTTTCACTCTGCTGAAACCGTGTGGCTCTCCCTTTCACCTAGCTGCAGGGGTCTGTACTCTAGCCAAAACCGCATAGTTCTCTCTCCTCTTCACCTCGGCAAGAGGGGGTCTTAATTCTGCTGAAACCGCGTGGCTCTCTTTTTCAATGGCTGCCACGTCTGGGTTTAAATCTCCATACCCATTCTCCCCTGCGGGCCCATTTCCGACTCCTCCTACAATCAGTTACACCTGCCAGGACTCTCATACCCTCCCAGCTTTACTGGGCTGCCATCATTAGTCTGGGTAGATATGGCCCCATGGCGTGGAGCCAATCAATTCCAAGCTCTCACGCAGGCACTGCAACCTGGGGGACCTGCCCCCAGGTACATCCTGGGTAGAAGCCACTCCCTTCTCCCTGGCTCAAAACTTGGCCACAGCAACTTAACATATCTATGAAACCAGTTAAAGGTTATAGATATGTTAAATAATCATTCCTGAGGTTAGCTGCAAAAACTGTTGCTATGCAAAACAGCTCTCAATGGCCCTGCTCCATTTGTTCCTTCCCCCAACTCACACCTATGGGGGGGGAGGGGTGAGGACATCTTATATGTCTCTCCAATATTCCTCTACACTTTGAATTCTGAACACCATTCCAAATCTTTTTTTTGGGCTCCCCCCTTGACTGCACCCTGTATCACTAGCTCTGTACTCATGTTGGAGGCATGAGATAATAATTAAATGTATCATTGCCTGTTCCCTACATGAACTTGGATTGTTGACTAATTTAAGACTAGTTTGACATTGACAGCACAGACTATGTATATGATAGTGAGTTCATGAGGCCTTGTGTCTACTTCTGTGTCAAAAGAATTACTGATGTGCCCTGCCTGGGTAGTTCAGTTGGTTAGAGTGTCGTCCCAATATGCCAAGGTTGCAGGTTCAATCCCCAGCCAGGGCACATGCAAGAAGTAACCAATGAATGCGTAAATAAATAGAACAACAATTTCTTGTTTCTCTTCCTCTCTCTAAAATTAATTTTAAAAAGAATTACTGACAGAAATGTTACCGAACAAGAGGTCCGAGGGAGGGGCAATACAATATTTGGCCCACCTAGGGATGCCCAAAATTGCTATACAACAGGGGCCCCTCCCAAAAAAACCAAAATACTAAAATCTACTGGGCTCTTCTGTCCGCCGCCAATTGGAAAGACATCTCTTAATGCCAGAGATTTGTGAAAAGGAAACAAAATATTTATTTAATGCTATTCAGGCCTAATGCCTCCACTAAAATATCAAAGTCTTTTATGTATACACCTACACCCACACAGCGCTCCCTTCTCCCACTGTCCCAACTCCCGGTACCGTAAATCAGGACAAGAGCACACGTCTGTGTTGCAGGCTGCTGGCACCATCAGCTGTGTCACTGTGCAGGATCTCGAGTTAATCCAAAGTACTGTGGTACCCTCTCATGGTCCACTGGCAAGAGTCCTTTGTACCCAGTTCCAGTCAAAGTCTCTGTTGCTTTTCAGGCCCCGCGGCCAAAGGGGGCACCCCAAAGTCGCGTGGGCCTCTTCTACCAAAGCTGCAGGAGTCTGCACGCCACCAAAAGCATGTGGCTTTCTTCTTTACCTGGCTGCAGGGATCTCCATTCTGCCCCAAACGGCGTGGCCCTCTCCTCACCTGGGCAGTTATCCCCTCATGTCCCGGAGCCCATCTTTTCCAAGCTCTCACACAGGCCTTCTCACTCAGGAGCGCAGCCCCTAGTTACATCCTGAGTCCCAGCTCCTCCCTTCTTCCTGGCTCCAAATTTGGCCACAGCTATTTAACATATCCATGAAACCAGTCAAAGGTCATAGATATGTCAAATAATCATTCCAGAAGTTAGCTGCAAAACTGTTGCTATGCAAAACAGCCCTCAATAGCCTGGCTCCATCCGCTTCCTCCCCCTGGGGGGAGGTGAGGACATCTTATATGTCTCTCCAATAATTTTATACACTTTGAATTCTGGACACCATTCCAAATCCTTTTCTTGGGGGCCCCCCTGGCTGCACCCTGTATCAGAAACACTCAGTATGAAGTGTGGTAAAATCTGAACTACGACCTGGAATAAATCCCCTAATTTAAGATTAACTGGTTTTGCAAAAGGATTCTGCCCTTTAGCAAAGGGAAAAAGTCAGCGAGACTGTTTAAACTTGCTTTCCCCTTTACACCTTTCAGTTCAGGACACACAGTTCTGTTCACCTGAGTCTGATGATTCAGCAGAAGTGAGGAGAGTCTCACCTGCAGGATTAGCAGCACCAGTAGCAGCTCCATTCAGTCCAAGTGTAATTACAACAGTCTATTCTTTTGAACTTTGTCCAAAACCCTTTGTGCAGACTTTGTAAGAATTAACCACATTCTTCATTACTTTTGCTGGTAATTTTATTTTTATTTTGATGGGTATTTAATTGGGATTTATTCGTTTGGCTTTGTTAATTTCTTTATTGATGGAAAAGGTCAAAGGAGAAATAGGTTTACTTTTTTTTTTTTAAGAAAAGGCTAACATAATGCAAACATACTCTCCAAAAGCAGAGCCAGTCATCAAAGAGTTTTTGTACTGATTATTCTTTTTGTGGGTTCTGGAACTGTTACTGAACAACAAGAGGTCCGAGGGAGGGGCAATACAATATTTGGCCCACCTAGGGATGCCCAAAACTGCTATACAACAGGGGCCCCTCCCCAAAACAAAATACTAAAATCTACTGGGCCTTCTGTCCGCCGCCAATTGGAAAGACATCTCTTAATGCCAGAGATTTGTGAAAAGGAAACAAAATGTTTATTTAATACTATTCAGGCCTAATGCCACCACTAAAATATCAAAGTCCTTTAGGTTGTACACCTACACCCACACAGCGCTCCCTTCTCCCACTGTCCCAACTCCGGGTACCGTAAATCAGGAAAAGGGCACACGTCTGTATTGCAGGCTGCTGGCACCGTCAGCTGTGTCACTGTGCAGGATCTCGAGTTAATCCAAAGTACTGTGGTACCCTCTCATGGTCCACTGGCAAGAGTCCTTTGTACCCAGTTCCAGTCAAAGTCTCTGTTGCTTTTCAGGCCCCGCGGCCAAAGGGGGCACCCCAAAGCCGCGTGGGCCTCTTCTACCAAAGTTGCAGGAGTCCGCACTCTACCAAAAGCATGTGGCTGTCTTCTTCACCTGGCTGCAGGGATCTCCATTCTGGCAAAGCTGTGTGGTTTTTCCCTTTTACCTGGGAAAGAGGGGGTCTGCACCCTGCCAAAACTACGTGGCTCCCTCTTTCACCTCACCAAGAGGGGGTCCTCACTCTGCTGAAACCGCGTGGCTCTCTCTCAGGCCTTCTCACTCAGGAGCGCAGACCTTGATTACATCCTCCTGAGTCCCATCCACTACCTTCTCCTTCCGGAGAGCAGCCCCTCGTTGCCATCTTGAGTCCCAGCTCTCCTCACTCAGGAGAACAGCTCATAGCTCCCATCTTGAGTCCCAGCTACTACCTTCTCCCCTCTTCCTCAGCCCCAAACTTGGCCACAGTTATTTAACATATCTATGAAACCAGTTAAAGGTTATAGATATGTTAAATAACCATTCCAGAGGTTAGCTCCAAAACTGTTGCTATGCAAAACAGCTCTCAATGGCCTGGCTCCATTCATCCCTTCCCCCTGGGGGGGGGGGCGGTGAGGACATCTTATATGTCTCTCCAATATTTCTATACACTTTGAATTCTGGACACCTTTCTAAATCTTTTGGGGGGCCCCCCTGGCTGCACCCTGTATCAGAACTGCGATAGTGAAAGAGCTCTTTGGTGACCTTTTCCCACTGGGTGCAGGGAATGAATATCCAAGCAACCAGGTAATTTAGGAAGAGTTGACAATATTATGCCCGTATTAACGGCGGAGTTGGAGCTTGGCCCTTGAGTTCAGAGTCAACGGTCTTATGTAAGAAGTTCACTTAGAAATTCACAGAGGCGGAAGGAGTGAGCCCACTGGCCTGCCCGGACTCAGGAAACAAGTTACAGAGGCAGGAGGAGGGCCCTTGGAGCTTAGGAGAAAGAAATCACAGGTACGCACCTAAGGGAAGAAGGGGAGAAAGTCGTGGGCTTGCTCTAAGAAAGAGAGTGCACACTGGGTCCTTTACATTAAGGGTTTTTAGCTGTTTTCGAAAGGCAAGAATTTTAGGGACGATCTCAGGGGAGGATCTTAATAGAATATTCATCAGCTTTCCAGGCGTGTACTTTCAGGGTCGTGGTCTCTACTGATTGCTTGGCACTAGGGTGGAGGGTCATTAACCATTGTGTCTGGTCCTGATGTCAGCCATGGTGTCACTTTGTCTGGTTTGGGTACTTTTCTGAGACTGGAGCTGAAACACAGCTGAGGCCCAGTTCTTCTGTCCAGTTTGACCAAAAGTCTGCCTCTGTGGTCCACAGACTCCAGATTTTGTTCCTAAGATTGTTTAATGCTGAACAGAACCCCATTGTCCTGAGGGCTAATTGCATGGGGGAGTGGTTGTGCAAGGGCTCATATGGGCATCGTATGAGGCTCTTCTCCAGCCCCTTGTGCCTCCTCTGAAGGGGTCTAAACTGCACGACTAGCAATGTGCCAGGGGAGGAAAGACCTAGGGGTAAGGTACTACTAGCCTATAAGACTTGTTTCCCCAGTTTTTGAAAAGATTTCATTTATTTTTAGAGAGAGGGGAAGGGAGAATGAAAGAGAGGTGATGTGAGAGAGAAACACTGACCAGCTGCCTCTCAGATGCACCCCGACCAGGGGCCACACTCACAACCCAGACGTCTACCCTGACTGAGAATTGAACTGGTGACATTTTGCTTTGCTGGATGATGCCCAGCCAACTGAGGCACGCCAGTCAGGGCTGTTTTCCTAGTATTGCTCATTGCTAGGCACCCGGGACTTTCGGCCCTGGTGACATTCCATACCTGGCCCGTGGCTCCTGCTGTGCTCGTGCCTAACTGCCTGCTCTACCGGCTGGAGAAAATATACTCTCTAAAGGTTTGGAAGAGGGAGCTTCTACAGGTGGTAATTCCTTAGGCCCCCAAATTGTGATGGTGCATCTTAATTTCAGTAAACAAAGAAGGACAAGCCCTGGCTCAGTAACTCAGTTGGTTGGAGCATCGTCCTGATACGCAGAAGTTGTGGGTTCAGTCCTGGGTCAGGGCACATACAGGAATCAACCAGTGAATATATGGATGGATGGAACAACAAACTGATGTTTCTCTCTGTCCTTCTCTCTCTCTCACTCCCCCCTTCCTTTCCTCTCTCTCTCTCTCTCAAACCAATACATTGAACATTTTAAAAACTGAAACAAAAGGATGCTGAAAAGTCCTCGTGATTATTTAAAAGCTTAATACTAGCTAAGCCTGTGAAAAATGGTCTCACAGACATTTTATCCAAATGTGAAGTGTCTGGACCCTGACTGGTGTGGCTTAGTGGGTTGGGCATCGTCCTACAAACCAAAAGGTCACCGATTCAGTTCCTGGTCAGGGCACATGCCTGGGTTGCAGGCCAGGCCCCCTGGTGGGGGTGTGTGAGAGACAGCCTACTGATCGAACATCAGGGTTTCTCTCCCTCTCTTTCTCCCTCCCTATAAATAAATAAATAAATTAATTAATAAATAAATAATTTAAAAAATTTTTCTGAAGAGTTTGGTTATCCAATAAAGAAATGAATGAGAGGTTTTGTGATGTATTATAGAGTGGCTGAAATAAAAGAAGAGAAAACAAAGGAAATATCTTACATACAAACAAAAAGGAAGCAACAATAGTAATATAGGAAATCTGTGTAGAACACTGAAACCAACATTGAAAATGGTACATCAGGAAATGTGCTATATGAAATATATCAACATACACAGAGCAGGAAATAAAATAATTAGAATAAAATGGTTCTTTGACTGAAACAGGTTAAATTGATTTTGTTTGCTTCCTGTTAAATTTATGGACTGCAGCACACCAAAGCTCAGAGATAGGCTTGCAAAGCCAGTGGAAAACAGCTTGATAATCAGACCATCAGAGACAGACTTAATCCTTCTTATCAGTGGACAGGCACTGGGAGTTTTCCAAGTTCCTGTTTAACCTGAAAGAAAGCTGGTTCCTGCCCTGGCCCTGGGCCGGCAAGCGCTTCACCGCTGCTCTGCATCGGTGCCAGTGACACCCAGCACTGGCTGCACTCTGGGGACAGAAACTGGAGGAACGTTGGTTCTCTCTTCTGGCTCTGTCTTCATCGAAAGTGGGGTTTTGGGGGTTTTGTCTTGGTGGATATCAGCAATCATGAAATCACTGATACAGACGTTTACTGTTTTGTAAACCGCACTGGGAGTTGGTGGCAGCTCTCTCACCAGCGTCTGCTGTGAGCAGGGCCTAAGAGATTTGTCTCGATATAGTGGAACCCCACACTTGGAGGCGGCCCACGGGGCTGGGGTGGGGTGCAGAAGCTACCATCTACGAAATGCGGTGCCAGCATTTAAATGTTGGTGTTTTCATTTGTTTCTCCTGTTTTGACATTAACCTTCATTACAGATCCTTTCTTTAGCTTTTTAAATTGTACCTTATTGTTTTGTTTTGCTGTTAATCTGTTCTCTGTGTCAGCTCCAGGGCAGAATCTCTGAGTGATTTCTGGGGGAAGGAGTTGAACTGGGGTGTCACCCCAGGGGAGGGACATCTTCGTGGTTCAAGCCCTTAAACTTCTTTCTGAATCATAGCTTTTAAGTTTCTCTTTGGACTTTAGCTGTGATTTATTGTTTTATTCACTTTATCTTTATGTACTTAATATTTATGACATTTTTCAGACACATGAATAGGAGCACAGATTAATACACACCCATGTACCCAGCCCCTAGCTTAAGAAATCCATTACGAAACAGTGGATTTCCCTGTGTACCCTTCCCTGCTTCTGTCCCCTTCCTTATGCCATAGAAGTAAGCACTACTTTGAATTTTGTGTTTATAATTCCCCCCTTATCCACTCTGTAGTGACAGAGACAGGACTGATTGCTGGCATTTTTTAAGTCAATTTACCAAAATGTCCATTGTCTGGGCACCATTTATGTTTATTCTATTTTTTAAAATGTTTCGTTCAGGAATCATTTTATTGTTGCTCCAAGTTTAAGAATTTCATTGACAGCCCTGGTTGGTGTAGCTCAGTTGATTGGAGTGTCATCTCATAACTAAAAGGTTTGGGGTTTGATTCCCAGTCAGGGCACATGCCTGCGTTGTGAGCTCAACACCCAGTCTGGCCGCCAGTTCCCGGTCCAAGTGCACTCAGAAGGCAGCCGATCGATGCTTCTCTCTCTCCCTTCCTCTCTTTCTAAAAGCAATGAAAAAAAAAATGTCCTTGAGTGAGGATAAAGAAAATAAAATAAAATAAAGGATTTTTCACTGACAGAAAGATCAACACTTTCAGAAAACCTCCCACATAAACTTGCTCAGCTTCTGAATTTTGGTTTTCACAGACATACCAACATAGTTCTCTCCAACAGGGACAATCATTCCACCCATGATTGACAGATCACACTTAACTTCTGATTTCAATATTTGGCTTTTATTTAGGAAGCTGTTCGGGACCATTTGTAGTTCAGAAAGGGTGGCTTCAGCTAAAGGCGGTGCAGAGGCCAGTGTGAGCGGGACTTCTCCACAGTGGACTCTCGCCTTGGTGGAAAAGGCAGAAATGGTGCCTGGGGTGTTGTGCAAGTGACCATTTTCAGCAAGCGGATGGATCAGGTTGGATGTGAGGGGAGAAAACCTCTCTTTTTGTGGTCGTGTCATTCAGGCTTTTCACTTTAATGGAACGTTTTACATAGGGATTCATCATCGAAGCAGTCATTTTGGGTTCCTTGTAACGTTTGTGCTACCCTGAACACATCCTTTTCTACTTGTTCCAGCTTATTCTGTTTAGATGCGGCAGATTAAAGAGCAGTGGTGTAGCGACCTTTGATACTCTACTCCTGAGCAGGTGGCCGCAGGAGCTTGGCAAACAGCCTGGCAAACAGCCTGGCCACAGATGCGCTGAAGCCTCACACCTGCCAGGAGAGCCTGGAAACTGCCGGGGGCGTTATCTGCTCCCAGGTGGCTGTGGGTCAAACCCGAGCTGGGGGAGCTACAGTACGGTTTATTCTTATCCTAGTGATCTGTCATGTCACATATCACATTTCCATGCACGTGTGGGCTGGCTCCAGACTCTGTTTCTTTCCTATCCCAACACCAGTCCTACACTACCTTAATTTCTATATTAAATTTTTTTTATTTGTCTCCTTTAAGAGAGAGGGGAAGGGAGGGAGGAGGAGAGGGAGAGAAACATCAATACGTGGTTGCCTTTTGTGCACCCCCTACCAGGGACCTGGCTGGCAACCCAGGCATGTGCCCTGCCTGGGATTCAAACCAGTCACCCCTTGGTTTACAGTCTGGTGCTCAATCCACTCAGCCACACCAGCCAGGGGTTAATTTCTGTATTTTTAAAATCAGTTTGTGTGTTGGTAAGACAGGTCCCTCCTCTTTGTTTTTATTTTTTAACCATCTCATCTGTTATAATTAGTTTCCTATTGCTATTGTAATAAACTACCACAAGCAATGCTTAAAAACAATATAAATTTACTATCTTACTATTGGTTGTGTAGCTCAGAAGTCAGAATAGGTCTCACTGGCATAATATCAGGGTGATGACAGGACTGTGTTTTCTGGAAGTTTAGGAAAGCACTGGTCCTTGTTTCTTCCAGCTTCTACAGGCTTCCCACACTCTTGACTCCATCTCAGAGTGAGCAACATTGGGCTGAGTCCTTCTCATGCTGCTGTCCCTCTGGTTTCCATCTCCTGCTTCTCTCTCCCGCTCATAAGGACACCGGTGATTGCAGTGAGCCTACCTGGATAGTCCAGGGCAGTCTCCCCATCGCAGCCAGCTGACTAGCAACCTTAAGTCTCCTTTTCATTACAACCTAGCATACTCACAGGTTCTGGGGATTAGAAGGTCAACATCTGTGAGGGGCCATTATCCTGTCTTTTAGATCTATTCTTGGTCTTTTTCTCTTTCATACCTATTATGGAATCAGTTTATGAAG